GGTGGCTCAGTCAGTTGAGCGTCTCACTCTTGGTTTCAGCTCAGGTCATATCCCAGGGTCATGGGATTAACCCCGCTCCAGGCTCCACGTTAAACTTGGAAGTCTGTGTAAGACTCTCTCTCTCTCCCTCTGCCCCTCTCCCTGGCTTGCACACGCTGTCTCTCTAAAATAAAAATAAAGTAAAATAAAGTATGACAGCTAATCACAGTTTTAATTTTTCTGGTTTAAAGCTTAGTGTGTTGTCAATATTAACTCTATCTAATAACAAACGATATGGAGCGCTTATAACAGTCCTTCTTCCCTCTAATCCCACCCCAAGCCATGCCAAAGAAAGAAGCAAGATACTTAATTTTTTAATATGCCTGAACTTTCCAATTTTAAGAAAATCTTAGAATTTAAGGAAAATATTTTTTATTTATTTTTAATATTTTCTTCTCTTGTGGAAGTGTTATTGAAAAGCACAACAGTTGTAATGTTAAATAAATCAAAAACAGTAAGTTATACCTAGCACTTAAGCAACTATCCAAATTCATTAGTATCAGAAGAAGAGAAGACAACATATGGGATTTTTATTAATTTTTATTAAAAAAAAAAAAACATTCCTCTTCAAACTACCTGAAGCAACCTATTCCACCTCCCTGACTTACTCCCAACTCCCTCCCATTCGCCACTGTAGCCTATGGAACACACATGTGATTATAAACAAGGTCTGCATCCTGAGTCTCTTCAGACTCCACCTGCACGTGAAAGGAAACCTGCCGCCTCACCCAGGAAACTGCTTCCCCTGCAGACAGCAAGAGAGAATGCTATTCATTCTTCTGGACTCTGCAATTTCCATACCTTTCCATACCCCTCCTCCTACCTTGAAGTTCAGAAGTAATGGCAGTATCACCATCCCTCCACCTACCTATCCATCCAACAAATATGTACTTAGTGTACAAATATGTACTTAGATTTAACAACCTTTAAAATCCAGTGAGACAAATGCAAAATGACCAAACAAATAAAAAATTGCCAATTATGAAAGAAAAGAGTAGGAAGCTATATGAGAAAATGAAGGGGATCTAGTCAGGCCAAAGTAGGAGAAAGAGTATTTCAAAAGAAAACAAAGGAGTGAAGTTGGTCTTCGGGGAAACCAAGTGCAACTGGGTATAGAGGGTGAGGAGGAGAGTGCTGGAGAGGGTGAGGAAGTGGGTAGAGCCTTGAGGCCAAGGACATGAGGGCCAGAACATGCAAGACCTTAAGGGTCAGGTTGAGGACTTTGGATTTTATTCTAAATGCAACCAAAACCACCAGGAGAGTCTTAAAACATCCACTCCTTATCACAGTGACCTACTCATCTGCCCACATTTAACCGGGATGCTTGCTCTTCAGCTCCACCCCAATCCCTTCCGCGTTCTAGATGGCTTCAACTTCTATGCCTTCTCAGTTACACAGCATCCTGTGCTCCGGTGACCTCCACTCCACCTCAAGCAAACTTCTCCCTTTTTCCTTGTCCCAAACTATTCCACCTATGAAAATCCAATTCCAGTATTTCATTCTCAGACCAGTCCTACTCTTCAACCTCCTACCAGTCCTACTCTTCCACTCCCTAGCATGCCTGTCCTCCAACCTTCAAAATTTTTTATTTGATTAGCCAAAAATTGAAAGTAGTTCAATCTCATTGGAATAGTGAAAACTTATTACTATTTCCTCCATCCCTACCAAAGCATGTAGGCTTCTCTACACCTTTCTCCATGCTCATACCAACATATATGAACTCATTCACAAATAGAGATGCTTGATTATGGAAAGTGAATCATACCAAATACATAATTCTGTCACTCTTAAGGTTAAACAGTTTATAAAAATAAAAGCTATGAACAAATCTCAAGCCAGCAGATACAGATCGAATTCATTCTTCAAGTTGCCTTACATTACTCTAGGTGCACACACCGCCGGTGGTTCCCCTCCAAAGGGAACTTTCGCTTGTTGTCTGGTGCAACTTGCTAACCCCTGAACACCTTGAAGTGGGCTCTTCTGTGGAGCAACGTGCTTCCAATGTTGGTAGTTGAGGAGAACTGATCTCGTGACTGAAAACATCTGGGAGAAGAATGGTTTTTCACAGCCCTCCAGCAGAGGATAGCAGGTCTCAGGCCATAAGAACAGAAGCCATCCACCTTTCACCACCTGGTTTGCCACTGCCCAAGAAATGTGCATGGTGGCCTGCTGGCAGGTATTGAGGGAACCACCACCATGAGTAGGCGAGGAAAATTAAAACTCACTTATGGGGTTTGGAAAGAAAGATGGCCAGCAGGACAGAAACTTGAGATTCCTTCTGTAGTAGAACCAATGGAAGAAACAGATGAGAATTTTAATGAAAATATAATGGAATTACAGCACAAAAAACAAAAAAAACAAAACCCAGTACTTTCAGGAACTAAAAAACATGATTTATTAATTAGAAATTCAATATCCAACAGAAAGAGAATGACTGCCCTTGAGAACCACATTAGTGGTCAGAAAAGTCAGGTGGAAATACCTCACAAGAAACCCTGTGACAGACCCCGAGGGAAAAGGCAAGTCGTGCGGAGATCAGATCCAGGAGACAAAACAAGGAGGAGGAAAGGAACATGTGGAGAGGTAATAATCACATAAATAACGGAAAACAACTTTTAGCATTCAAGAAAGTCTTGAGTCCCTGAATATCAAGGATAAAGAGGAAACCCTGCCAGGCTGTCAGCACTGTGGGACAAGGACCTTGTGGGACGGTGGAAAGCTGGAAGTAGAGGTGCTGCTTAGGGACACCAGGGCACTGACTCCAGGCCTCCCTAATGCTGGGTTTGGTTCACACACCAGTAGAGCCCAACGTCTATACTTAATGCATCACATGGAAACATTAAGCACAAAGACTGCTAATGTTCTTCTAGGGTCTGGCAAGCTTCCTGTTGTCTTTTGTCACTAGCATCTTAGGACCAGCCTCAGAGACTCCACAGTAGTCATTTCCTTCCACAGTCTATCTGAAACATTGCAAGTGCTACTTTTTTTTTTTTTTTTTTTTTTTTTTTTACTTATTTTTGAGAGAGCGAGAGAGAGAGCGTGCAAGAGCATTAGCGGGGAGGGACAGAGGGGGGAGAAAGAAGATCCCAAGCAGGCTCCGCACTGTCAGCACAGAGCCTGATGCAGGGCTCAAATTCACAAACTCTGAGATCATGACCTGAGCTGAAATCAAGAGTTGGACGTTTACTTGACTGAGCCACCCAGGCATCCCTGTAGGTACTAATTTTTAAATGTTATATGCCCAAACTACTTTGGTAAAAATTAGAAGTATAATAAAAAGAAAATATTCATAGATAAGGTAAATGCATGATTGTTAAAAGAAACCCTTACTTTTATTTATGACATGTATATGAAGGTAGTATGGTCATAGTTAAGAGCAGAGACTCTGGAATCCTACCACTTACTAGCTCTGTGATCTTGGGCAAGAAACCTTTTTGTGTTTTGGTTTCCCGAAAAATAAATGGAGTCAATAGCACCTATGTGTTAAATGAAAAGATTCAATGAGCTAGTACATGCTCGGCACCGGGAGCTTTGTCTGGCACATAGCAAACACTCGGTGAATAATAGCCGTGCTGCTGCTGCCACCATTGCTTGCGACAGGAAAACAGCACCGTACGTAGAACCTTAACTTCAGAATCAGAAGAGTTGAGCTCAGCTGCCAACTTTAAAAGTTAAGAGTTTTATACCACAGCCGCGGTACTTAATCCTTCTATGCTTACATTTTTTTCAAATGTAAAACAGGAATATGAATACCTTTCTCTTTCAACGTCCATCTGTCTATCCACAAACATCACCTGAGCATTTACTATACACCAGCTATTGTCTAGTGGCTGGAAAAAAAATCTGAGTAAGAGCTCACAGTCTAGTGAGCTCGTAGTCTAGTGAACCATACTCAGGAACCTTAGTTTCCTTTCATGTGAGCATTTCTTAAAGCTCCCTTTGCTTTAGGAGGTGAAGAAAGGACCACAAAGGGTAAGTATGCGTTTTAGCAAAAGTACTAGGATTTAAAAAAAAAAAAAAAAAAAAGGCAACTTTAATGTTGTTAGCAATTGTTGGGCAAAAAATGTGGCCAGGTCCTGAAATTACTGTGTCGTGGTATTTTAAGAAAAATACTATCGAGCAGTTGGGTCATTGGCAAGTAACTCCTGTAGACCATATGGCAGTCTTAGGACTGAGGGAGACCAGAGAAAAGCAGAATCGCATTTCTGGTCAGAGAAGAGGATAAAACATCTCGGGGAGACTCCTCTGTCCAGAGGCTGGACCATGTAGTAGACAATTTGCCTCTCTGAATGATCTTTTGAGACATAAGTGTCCTTTGAATAAACAGCTCTCAAGCCATTGTCTGAGAGGAGCTACTATTACTGGATTCCTTGTTGACTACATCGGTCCCCTTTGAGAGCGTCCTGCCTTGGCATATAGAGTGGGGGATTAAAGTGGGAACAAGCTCTTGGTATCTCTTCTATGTCATCACAATAATAAAGACCTTATCCTAAAGCTTCCTGGCATTAAGAGTGCTTATTTTGATCATCCCAAGGGAGCTGTCTATAGGAAGGGGTGGGACAAGTTGTTCCCCTGTAATCTTTTAGTAAACTCAGGGGGCTTTAGAATGTTTACACTGATAACACCAGACAATCACTAGTAAAAAATTAAACACAAAAGAGACTGAATTCACAGGAGAGTCCAAATGCCCATTCTTTATAAAGAAACAGTGCGGGACAACATGTTTTCATCTGTCACCATCAGTTGGCATTTAATACCTATAATTTAAAATTCTATATTAAAAGCCTCACAGAAATTAGAATCGCATCATACTTGAAACAGTATTAAGTACATTGAGACATTTGGAATCTTTAGAAAGTAGGTAATTATACCATTTTTAAAAATTAATATCCAGAATATTTTCCTTGATTTTATATATATATATATCGCCACAATGTAAAACAAACTATATGGGTTATTCAAAATCATGTATTTGGCTCATAATCAGCCTAGCTTTATTACAAATTCACTTAAATGGTGGCTATAAACAAGATTCTGGTTTCTTTTGTGTACGTGAAAAACATTCTAAAAACCAGTATCGGGGCGCCTGGGTGGCGCAGTCGGTTAAGCGTCCGACTTCAGCCAGGTCACGATCTCGCGGTCCGTGAGTTCGAGCCCCGCGTCGGGCTCTGGGCTGATGGCTCAGAGCCTGGAGCCTGTTTCCAATTCTGTGTCTCCCTCTCTCTCTGCCCCTCCCCCGTTCATGCTCTGTCTCTCTCTATCCCAAAAAAAATAAATAAACGTTGAAAAAAAAAAATTAAAAAAAAAAAAACAAAAAAAAAACCAGTATCATTTAAATAAGTATTAAATTAAACTAGAGCTAAGTGGAAATTATCTGGCAAAAAGGAATACTGACATCTATATCTTAAAGTTGCAATTGGATAATAAATTATATTTTTAAAATGTACATAAAAACTCTACTACTCCCACCCGTAAATTAAAGTTTATTTATTACCCAATCATGTTTTAGACTTAAAGTAAAATCCTATCGCTTATAGAAAATAAATCCAACAATTTATCCAAACATTGTTACATAAGAAGTTTTAAGAAACTGTAAATAATTCTTAATACTCTCATTTTGATTCTCCGACTTTTCAAGACTATGTTGTATTTCTTTCAAACATACTTCCTGGTGTTGTGCTTTCTAAATAAAAGAAGAAACAAACATAATCAATTATGGCATTCATATCAAAGGATCAATTAATAATGACATTCATATCAAAGGAGAGTCACAATGTAAAATTTATATATACAGTAATTAAATACACAATTTTAATTTTGAAGAGAGAATTCTAACATCTGATATGTTCATTATTTACTTATCTTAGAGCTCACTTTTCTTTAAAATTCAGCATGACTAAAGTACATACATGGTTGATCTTTACTGTGATACTATTTTATTGAAACTATCATAATTAATTTTCACTACCTTTAACATGACCTATTTTAATACTAGTTTTTGCCATTTTCTCTGCCTAAAAATTTCTATTTTATACCATAAGACTTCTGCTGCCTTAAAAATTCCAGTTTTTATAATATGAACATTTTTAGAAATCTTTAAAAATAAAAAGAATTCTAAATATTATAGGTGTTCTTTATTTGAGGAAAAAATTCAAAGCCCAATATATTTTTAAAAATATTCAGCTGCACACAAATTCCCAAATTGATCTGTTCACTGAAAATACTTCAGATAGATAAGTTGCAGATACCATCTAGCTTCCAACTAAAATGTACACACCTTCAAAAGAGAAAGAAATCTTTGCATTCCTTCCTATCAGGTATTCAATGATACCTGATACCTTCTGAAACTGAGTAATGCCCTTTGGGAGAGGGAAGTGGCATGGGATGAAACAATGTGTGAGGATGGGCTACACAAAATCATAGAATGAACATAGTGAATCTTTGAGGAACATCAGTTTTACTCAACAGTTTGGAGGGAAAAATTAATATGAACACACTTATATTGTAGGGTAGAATGTGAAATGTTTGCGGATTATAGGATAATGTATTAGACTCCAGAGACATTCAGGCTTCAGGAAGGATGGCCTGGGTTAAGGGGGTGGGGCCATGCCTGGGTCTGCATATCCACCCTGCCCCAGGTGAAGCACTTGGGCAGGAAATCTGAAGAAGCCTGCTACCCTGGGCGGGGTGCTGTGGAAGACACCAGGATATAATCAACTATGGGACAGGCTCTCAGGGTGCTTCCAATTCAACTGGAGCTAAGATATGTATATAAAATAAATACTGACCTGCCCACGGAACTGTCCCCTGAAAGGACAAAATACATAGACTCATTTTTCAGTAATGTCTAAACCAATGTTTAGAATTCTAGATTTTTACTCCTGTAAAAATTATCAGATTTAACAGAACCTCAGATCTTAAACTTCTTTCTTTTGGAAGCTTTAACGAAGTACTGGGAAATTGTAGAGAAACCCAACTTATCTTACTATTTTTTTTAGAACTTTAATCACACATATTTTACAGTATCAAAAATTCTGATGGTGGGAAAAACATTAAAAAATCAATCTATAAATAAAAGAGATTTAGAATAAAGGGAAGGCCCATGCTACATTAAAACTGAGAAACGTTTGTTCTGATTAAATTGCCATGGCACTTTTGATGGTGATAAAATGAAACTAAAATTGCATGCCAAAAATCATTTAACTTTGAATCTTTCACGTTTTCAACTTTTAGACACTTGGGAATACAAAAATAGTTTTCGTGGTGTCTCCGGCTCCCAGAAAAGATAAAGTATCATCATTTTCTATGTAACCAAGTAGATAGTTTTCAAGTAATTTAGTCACGACTAGTGCTAGCTCTCATAGTGCCTTATGCCAACTGACTACTTTCATGAATATTTAGGAAAAGACATTAGAAGATTAATTAAACACGGCCAATTTGGTATTCTCATTTCATGGCTGAGTGGCTCAAAGCACCCGTCTCATATGCAGATATAACAATACTGAATATTTACTTAACACAAACTCATCACCTTCTAAAATATAATATTCATTACTCAAGACAGATATCAAAATCTAACTCATAATAGTTTAAATTGTGTATCTTAAAAAAATGAAAAATTCATACCAGAAATTCCTAAGTAGATTATATCTGTAACTTTCATTAAACAGTCGTCATGCAAAAGTAATATGCAGGAAAGGGCCTGATGAGACTTGGGGAAATGTAATAGAAGCTACCAAGGATGCAGTATAATAATTCTTTGGCATAATCATGACATCTTAAATTTTTATGATTTATATAATTTGTTATTTTTAATATTACCAGTAAAGCAATCCCCTCACTTCATACTTTAACTAAACTATACAGTAAGAATGTTAAATGCTAATTTACTTTTTATGAAAATATATTAAGCCCTACAAATACTTACACTGTTCATTTTGCAAACAAGTTGACTTTGTTCTTCATTTTTCTTTCTAAGCTCAGTTTCCAGATCTAATATTTTAATCTGTAAAACCCTCTCTCTAGATGACATTTTCTCTATTTCTTCAGAAACCTATAATTTTCATTAAGAGAGTAAAATAAGAGAGTAAAAATAAGTATGACTTAAACACTTGACATAGTTATACTATACCTCTTTTTTCTGAACAGATATTAACTGTATATTAGCTTAATTAGAAAATGTCTAAAGATGTTCTATCTTGAAAAAATACATATAGCATAAGTATGCTTATTTCTCTTTGCAGTTAAAAATATCTGCAAAATTAGCTTGAGATGGAAGAAGTATACACATTTGCACTCCTCTGTGACTTGGGTAGGTGTTTTTCCCACTACTGTGTTTTTTTAACCTACTGAGGCCAACTTGCCAGTTGCCATCCTACTGTATGGATATTCACCGTGGGGTCTAGAGTACTGACAGAGCATAGAAGGTTCTCATCCAGTGCTACTCACAGATTGGATGGATGAGATTGGGACAGAGCAGGAGATGTATACACGTCACTCACACACAAGAAACTGTTTTTTCATTCATTCACTTACAAAGTGGTCTGAATTTGAGTTTTCTATTTCTACGATGGTTTATTTTAGCAGAAAGTCTAGCTGAGCTATGTTCATCCAATGATTCAGATATGTGGGAGCCTTTCTGCAAGAATTCTGGGTTGGAGCCAGAAGAGTAAGAGTGGAGGCAGGGCTAATTCAGGAGTAAGGAGCTAGTGGGAAGGACTGTCCTCTAACTATATTCCTACTGTAAATTTAGTTCTAAGTTATTGTAAAGTAATTTACAAAAATTTCTTTTGCACAAATTCCAAAGGCGATTGTGAGTGAGGGATGCTTGCAGGATGTAAAGCTGTAGGAGAAAGAGCCCTTGACAATGTCCTCAGTGTGGACAATGGTGACAGGGCAGTGCTGGCACCCTCACCTGGCAGGAACTAGAGACAGCCCCATGTTCCAGTGCAGCAGGAGAGAAAGGAGAACGTAGACACATCTCTGGGGAACTCTCAACACTTCTGAGAAGGAATCTGAGAACACCTACCATTTCTGAAGTCTACCTAGGCTGAACCCAGGATAAAGGCATTTATTTTCCTTTCAAAGGTTGATGGGGCTGAGAAATCTGGATTACATTCCTACCGTTGGCAATACATTTTGCTACCTAGTTTTTATTCAATGTTGTGCCTTTCAAAGTCAATTTAAATTGGTTTCCCACAATTAAAAAAAATCTAGATAGATAGATAGATGACACTTGCAATGTATGAGCCACACTTCAAGGACATCAGATTTTATCTAACTTATGTGGAATTGCCATTCACAAGTTCGTGAAAGACATGGGTGGAAAAGAGTTTAGAGGGAAAGATTCAGAATTTGGTAGTGGACATGTTAAGGTTGAGATGTTAAGTAGAGATGTCAAGTAAGTAGCAGAAAATCTGAGTCTAGATTTCAGGGGAGAGAGAAACCTGGGGAAGAGATACACATTTGAGAGTCATCATGGTAAAGAGGATCTCTTTTTTTTTTTTTTTTTTAATTTTTTTTTCCACGTTTTTATTTATTTTTTGGGACAGAGAGAGACAGAGCATGAACGGGGGAGGGGCAGAGAGAGAGAGGGAGACACAGAATCGGAAACAGGCTCCAGGCTCCAAGCCATCAGCCCAGAGCCTGACGCGGGGCTCGAACTCACGGACCGCAAGATCGTGACCTGGCTGAAGCCGGACGCTTAACCGACTGCGCCACCCAGGCGCCCCAAAGAGGATCTCTTTTTAGCACCATTTAATCTGATGAGGAAACACATCATCCCCATTTACTAATTAGGAAACTAAAAGTTTAGAGAAGTGACTCACTCTGGGTCAGGGTGTAATGTCACCCTGAATTCAAACCCAGTCAGAGCCAGAATTCAAACCTAGTGCCTGTTGGAATCCAAAGACCACTTTATGCCCTTTCAAGATTACATTTTCAAATCATTTGATAAATGTATTTTTTCCTTAAGACCCTCCTGAATCATTTCCCAATGCCCCCAGTTAAACTAACGACATCCTCTGGTGTACCGTGCACCCTCCCACTGTTGTAGCACCTACATGCTGGATGACGTTTGTCTGCTTGCCTATTATCTACCTATTGGACTAGGAGTGTCCTGAGAGCTGGGGCCAGGTCTGTTGGAGATGGTAAAAAAGACATGACTTCCAGGTAACCCATGAGCTGGACCTGGGCAATTGGAGGTTCCCCACCTTCTCCCCTATCCTTCAGGTATGTGTTTTGCTTTCCTTCCCTGGTCCCAGTAGCTGCTCCAGGTAAATAGCCTTGAGAATGAAATGTGACGTTGAGATTTTCTGGTCTGGGTACATGACTGAACCTAGTTAAAGGGCTTCCTTATAAACTTAAGAGTCTGTCAGGTGGCTGTGGAAATCTACTCATCTTGTGGCTGTCCAAGACAGCTCTCATGTTCCCTTGCTTATTAAACCTGCCATTTTCCAACCAGGAATGGTGCATCTCTTTCTACGGTCTCTCTCTGCCCTCCACATGTGGGTTTCTGATTACACCAGGGAAACTGCCGATGAGCTTGGGAACTAACAAGGTCTTATTCATCTTTGCATCTCGAATACTAGCAGAGTGCCCAACACACAGTAAGATATTTATTAAATGCGAACCAAATGGATTTAACTGGAATTCAATTTTTCTTTAATTCTTGTATGTATTTATGCAATAATATTAGGCAAAAAGAAAAGGGAATGGAGCTTTACACCTCACCAGATCCTAACCAAAATGTTCGATAATTTGCACAACTGCTTTTTATTCAAAAAAACAAAACAAAAACAAACAGGAGGGGGGGAATTCTTCCATGTTTTCCATCTCTGCCCTCTACCCTGCCACATCATCATTCACCTAGTGAAGTAATTCTGTACCAGTAATACAGCTGTTTAGCTCCAAAAGGGACAAGTTGGTAAAAAACAAAAATGTAATTGCTCTCTTCACCCTGTCATCAGGATAAAAACAATAACTGTAGGTTTGGTAAGATGAGATATTGTCTGTTTAAAAAGACGACTCTTCGGTAAACTAATTAAAAAGTTTCTAAATAAAGGCCATCTGTACCTTTTGTCTTCCTTCTTCTAAAGCAGCTTCCAGCTGTCTGGCCAATGCTGTATGTTCTGCAGATTTCTCTTCAAACTTAAGATTGCTGTGCTTAAGACATTCTTCTTGGTTTGCCAGTTTCTTTTCAAGCTCTTTATTTTCTGCATCCATCTGTTCTAATTTTCTTTTTGCAGAAAACATATATTTTAAAATTATAGTGTATAGAGAAAAATGTAACACCAATTTTAAGTCAATTTAATACTTACTGTTTAAGGTTTTCACACTTCAACTGAATAAGATAATTTTCCTCTTCCAAAGAAAGCTTTTTTAGAAGATTATGATTTCCATCAACCTAAAAGAAGGGGGGAAAAAGTTTTCTTGGTTATTTTCTTTATAAGCAACTTCCAAAGAAATCTATGTACTTTAGTGTTAGAATAATCATTAAAGAAACAAGAAGGCCTAAATATTATTATTACTCCTACACAGAGAGACTCAAAGAAATAATTACATTTTTAAAACATAAGTTCTTAAATTCCTGATTAAGTTTTTTTTTTTCAAAAAAACTATGCTGTCTCATAGGAAATCATCTACTAGAAGGTTTTTTCTGAAAGATGGCAATTAAAACATTCTGAACAATGCTTTGTTGAAAAAGGATGTTTATTTTATGAAGTAAATTTGAAGACTAAAACTCATTAATATCCAATTGTTGCATATTTAGAGTTACTCTTACAGTTTCCTGCTTCATCTCAAGATAGTGAATGATAATTGAACATCTATGAAGTTAACTATGAGTGAAAACTGTATTTGTGAGAAGCAAAATAAAATGAACAAACAAATCAACCGAAGACAACTTGTTCATGCCAAGACCAAATACTCTTCCCATTGCTTCAAAAGCTATACTTATTTTAAGAAGCCTTGAAAATACTTTTTTTCTCATAATTTAATTTATAATTTGGGTTATCGATGTAGATTTGGCATTCTCCTACAGAAATCTCTTCTCGGGAATTTAAATTTAGCAAAGATTTATTTGCATGTTTTTTTTAAAAGCAGGATGCATTTCAAAATTAAAATCCCGGTTACATTTGGAAGATAGACAGGGAGTTGTTTTTGCAAATAAACAAAAAGACTTGCTACCTCCTTGCATATACTTCTTTGAAAAAGTAATTAATTAAAAAAATATTTGTAAGGGGGCGCCTGGGTGGCGCAGTCGGTTAAGCGTCCGGCTTCAGCCAGGTCACGATCTCGTGGTCCGTGAGTTCGAGCCCCGCGTCGGGCTCTGGGCTGATGGCTCAGAGCCTGGAGCCTGTTTCCGATTCTGTGTCTCCCTCTCTCTGTCCCTCCCCCGCTCATGCTCTGTCTCTCTCTGTCCCAAAAATAAATAAACGTTGAAAAAAAAAATTAAAAAAAAAAAATTATTTGTAAGAGCTTACTCTGTGCTAGGTATTGAATTAGAAGATGGTATGTGGATTCTCTCTCTCCCTCTCTCTCTTCCCCTGCCCTGCTCATGAGCATACTGTCTCTCAAAATAAATTAATTAATTTAAAAAAAAAAAAAAAAGGAGATGGCTATGTGGTGACTAACAGGGCATTGATGATCCCTGTTCTGACGGGAGTAAAAAAAATAATAATAATTGAGAATAATCCAAATGAATTTGATGTACAATTCTAATGAAAATAAATTCTAATTTTTGTATGGTAAGTTATGATAATCTGGTTTATCATGATATCAAAAAGATATATGTAAACATAGTATTGCTCCTCTCATGCTATTACTGTGTTCTCAAATGTCTAAATACAGATTTATACATATAAAATGAGCTATTTTAGCTACCAATTTTCCACGATAAAATACTATAAGAATAGGTTGCAAAATATTACAGCATCTGCAATAAATTGATAAATTGACTTAAATGGGAGTTAAAAAAAAACAAAAAAGCAAAACAAATCAACCCCTGACATGAGTGCCCTTAACTGGTGAAATCACTCCAGAGAATTCCTTTAACGTATCTAGAAGACAGCAAAATGACAGCTGGACACCTGGCCCTGAAGCTCCCTAACGGTGTGCACCTTGTCCACACATCTCTCCCTGTAGTGCTGCACACTCTCCTGACACTCGTGAAGCCTCTGTTCCGCCGCCGTCACCGAATCGCAGACGTGCTCTAACTCCTTCAGATGAGATTCCGTCTGGCCTCTCATCTGAGTTGGAGCATTAGGGAAATAAGTGCAAGGTTACACATTCAGCATTAATGTCTTCACTACCTTACATACTACATATGCTCGTAATACAATGAGTATTTTAGGTATAATGGTTTTAAGCAAAATGATTCAACCAAATAAATACGAATAAACATGAACTTGGACTCTGCCAACTAAGAACATATAACTCAAAAGCGGGCTGCAATTTAGTTTGCAAAAAGTCTGTTGAGTAACTAATATAACACTGTATGTTAATTATACTGGGATTAAAATTTAAAAAGTAGTTGAAAATAAGTTTGTTGAGTAAATGCATATAATATTAGCCTGCAGGGAGAATGTTTAACGTACTGAGGAAAGCAAACTTCCTGAATCCTGTAATTTATACTCAGGCATAGTTATTACTAGTAAAGCTAGTGTGGTAGTTTTCTACTACCCAGCCATCAGTCTAAAGTAATCGTCACTCTCTGTCATTCAGTCTTGTAACTCAGATCTTTTAGTCTGAACAGCCTTGCTGCACTCATCTTCGTTCAGGTTGGTGGGGTTTACTATATATTTGTAGTTAGCTAATGTCATCAGTACTCAGTAGACTGTAACTTCATCCTTAGTGTTACTGTGAGCAAGTCTCCCTAATTTTATCTACATTCATCCCTTTGGCTAGTGCGGTACCTCACTGTGGCATTTTTGTGGAAATGTGACAAGAAGCAAACCTAAGAAATGCTTACATGGCTAATTAAGAAAAAATAACAAGACATATGGCATTTAGGATGTTTATAGGAAGGAAAAAACAAGAGCCAGACTCTGTCCCTGAGACAGGGAACACCTAGAGCTACCGTGCATCACCTGGCACTCTTGATCACAAAAGGTCAAGCAAGAACAAAGTGTACCTCTGGGTCCCCAAACATCTAAGAGCCCATGAGAAAACCATGAGAGTCAACAGTGGAAAAGGAAAAATCTCATCTTAAAAAATGACTTTTCTAGGGGCACCTGGGTGGCTCAGTCAGTTAGTGTCTGACTCTTGATTTCGGTTCAGGTCATGATCTCACATTTCATGGGTTCAAGCCCCATGTCAGGCTCTGTGCCAACAGTGCACATCCTGCTTGGGATTCTCGCTGTCTCTCTCTCTCTGCCCCTCCCCTCCTTGTGTTCCCTCTCTCTCTCAAAAGTAAATAAACTTAAAAAAAAAAAAAAATGAATGGAAATTTCTTAAAAAAAAAAAAAAAAAAAAGACTTCTGGTTTAATACCAGTTAGAAGACATTGTGACCTCGTGGTATCTGAAAATTACAGGCTTTTGCCCCATCAGCCTTTTGAACAGGTTTTTTTAATAGGCTTTTTATTTACAGTGCTGCTTAGCAAAAGAGACCTTTGCAGTGGTATGTCTCATGAGAAAAAGAGACCAGAATACATGAAATGCTAGACATGCTGCTAAAAATAGGTGAAAAGTAATTCTAAGAAAGTAGTCAGTTGCATGTTAGGTGGGCTATCTTTATCTCTGTTTAACCAGCAGAATGCCCACTCTGGCTGACCTCTTCTTCACACTCATGCCTCACTCAGACATCTCGATCCCAAATGTGGGGGCAACCCAGAGATAGTCACCTTATTATACTCAGTTGGAAGTGACTGGTAACATCCCATGATCTCTCCAGCTAGGAGTCAGTGTCCTAGGACTTCCACTGCTTCCTTACCAAAACAACATGACAAGACCCAAAGAGGGATGAGGTTTCATTTAAAAACTTAAAAATATTCGCAAAAACATCCTAACTTGCCAACACTGGCCTTCCCCTCATTCTGTTGCAATGGGGTGACAACGGGAAATGATGCTGTTTTTTTAATATTATTTTTCCTCCAAATATTCTCTGCATTTACCAGAGAATATTTACTTTGCTTTTTAGACACAAAAGATTTAGTACCAGAAACAAAAAGGTGGGATTAAAAACGAGAGATATTCAAGTTTGCATATTTATGGTTGAGGAAGCTCAGGGATTAAGTGATAACCATTTTTTTTTGAGCTATGTTAAGTCTGCTCTTATGTCAGAAAAATTAAACATTTATGCTGTTTTCAAAATATTAAGGAAAAAGTAAAAAAATAAAAAAAAACTCATACAAACATTTCAAGCCTGGAAGAAACATTATCTCTTTAGAAAACAAACTCCTACAGAGATTTAAGACAGATAATTCCTAGGTCTAAACTAGAGAAAACAACCACAATGAAAGAATAGGTATAGTACTCATAAAGTACAAAACGTATAAATAAAATATTATTTTATTGCTTAAAACATCAAACTTACCTTCTCTAACTTTTTATTTTTGTTTTTTGTTATTAGGTTATTTTCATGTAGCAAATTTTCACATCTGCTTTTCACCATTTCAGCTGCTTCTTGCAACTTTTGTATCTGAAAATAGAGTAACATATTTTATTATTAAGACCACAATGTAAGGGCACCTGGGTGGCTCAGTCTGACTCTTTGTTTTCGGATCAGGTCATGATCTCAAGGTTCGTGAGTTTGAGCCCTGCATCAGGCTTTATGTTCATTGCATGGAGCCTACTTTGGATCTTCTGTCTCCCTCTTTCTGGCCCTCCCCTGATCATGATCTGTCTCTCAAAAATAAATAAATGTTAAAAAAAAAAAAGGCTATAATGTAAAATAAAAAGCAAATCATTATTTCCCTATCAATACCCTCAGTATCTTTATCTTATGTTATTCCTGCTTTAATATAAGAATAGATCAGTGCTCTATTCCAAACTACAATCCTTTTATGACTTATCTGTCTTTTCCCATCAATACTTCTAGTCTCTCCCCTTAAGACTGAATATTAGAGAGATCTATACTTGCAGGTTAATGAACTTTAAGGAGAACTAAAAAAAATAATAAAAAAAAAATCTGAAGACTAAGGAGTAATTGAAATATGCTGACATGTATGTCCACATGCATATTTATTTGGGAAGAGTCAGATTTATTACAACAAAATAAAATGCGTTTTTGTTTTTTTATTTTTAAAAAGAACATTTGATCCAAACTATACCAATTATTTTACCAATTCCATACCAATTATTTTACACTCCAAAATTTAAAAATGCTCAAAAAAAAAAAAAAAAAAAAAAAAAAAAAAATCTAAGCACTTCAAACAAAGCCCAGAGCCTAGAACATGCACAGTATTCTTGCTGAGGGATTAAAGCCAAACACACAGCTGGAGGATACAGATGTCATTCTCCATAATGTGTCCCGCAGTCCACTATGGCCTCCATCTTACCTCTGGTCTGGTAAGCTCCACATGACTGCAATATATATTCTTTAAGTTTATTTTTATTTATTTTGAGAGACAGAGAGTGCAGGGGAGGGGTAGACAGAGAGGGAGAGGGAGAGAATCCTAAGGAGGCTCCATGCTATCACCGTGCAGCTCAACGCAGGACTTGAACTCATGAACTCTGAGATCATGATTTGAGCTGAAACCAAGAGTCAGAAACTCAACCAACTGAATCACCCAGGAGCCCCATGACTACAATATTCTAACTGGATGTCTCAACTTCATTTTCCCATCTAAACCATCCAGATGTACTTCCTTCCTACCTATCTACACAATGCCCTGCTTAAGCTTTTACCTTTAGTTCATTATTCTTTAATTAAAATGCTCTCTCATCCAGTAAAATCAAGCTCTTTATTGACTAGTCTGTTACCATTGTTCAAGGACCTGCATAAGTCCCATCTTCTCATACATATTTTCTTGAATACTACATTTCCAAAACATAAGGTTTTCTATAAATTGCCACTGAACACATGCTGTATTCCATATATATTTTTGTATGTTCTTTTCCAGGTCTTTCATATGACTAAATCAGAATTTTACTTTTTTTATTGGGAAAGAGGGAGTGTTGAGCTTTAATGACCCTAGAAGGGAGTCATTATTCTACATCAATACCATAACATATAGAAGATGACAAATAAATATAACTAAGTTTAACAAGATTGTACCTAAGGTTTACATTACACCTACGTAATTAATTTTAGATTGACTTTTAATTCTTTTTAATGTTTATTTATTTTTGAGAGAGAGCACGAGCATGGGAGGGGCAGAGAGAGAGAGGGAGACACAGAATCCAAAGCAGGCTCCAGGCTTTGAGCTGTCAGCACAGAGCCCGACACAGGGCTCGAACTCACAAACTATGAGATCATGACCTGAGCCAAAGCCAGGTGCTTAACTGACTGAGCAACCCAGGTGCCCCTAGATCTACTTTTAGGAATACCCAGTATATACATAGTCAGTGTATGAATCAGGAATCAGCAGAATCATCTACTTATAAAAATATACGAGGCGTTAAGAAATAGATGGGACATATATTCTATCACAAGATAATAGCTCCACCTTAATTTAGATCATTAAAAATGCAGTGTTTTAAACTGTCTACAAAATTTAACATTAAAATGAATGCAATAGTCACCTGAGTTTTATATACTTCAATAAGGGCTTTCTGTTGTTTTTCTACTTCTTGCAATTCTAAGAGTTCATTTTCGACAGAAACAACCTCATCCTTCAAAGCAGCAAGGGTAGTCTAGCAAAGAATATATAAATAGATTTTATAAATCATTAGAATTCACTTATACTCTGGTGCTACAGGGTTATAAAAACATAACTCATTTATCAACAAAGTTAATAACATAATTATCTTTATTGCATAAAATTACCATTTAAATTTAAGAAGTTTAAAAAGTTAGTAATAATGAATAACTATAATAAGACTTATGTAAGACATATATTTTTAAAACTTTTAAAATTTCCTGACAAAGAAAGACTTGGAAAATAGAAAGACCATGTTCTTTGATGGGAAGACTCAATACTAGTGACATATCAGTTTTTTCAAAACAATAACACTTTAAGTGCAATTTCAACCAAAAATACAACAGTTGGGAGGAGGGGGAATATAACAAAATTAATTTTAAAATTCATATGGAAAAATAAATGGGAAAAACTAATACAATTCTGAAAGAAATACTAAGGTAGAGAATCTCAGTACTTACTAGATATTAGGATGTATAAAGAACTAAAATTTTTAAGTTTACTGTGTGTGTATGTGTATGTAAATATACATATACATATATATATATATAATGTATATATATATTTAATTTTAGAATTTAAAAGTCAATGGAAAAGACAAAGAAAAATACACCAAAATTATATTTAGTATATGATAAAGGTTGAATTTTTAAGTCAATGAGAAAAATGTGGATCACTAAATAATGGTAATAAGACAACTGTTTAATTATTAGAAAGAAAGTAGATTAACTCCACCCAATATTATTTTTTGTATTTATTTTTATAAAATATATTTATATACTTACTTAAAATAAAGCTTTAAAATTTTTCACAGAAGATACAGCTAAAATTTTGATTTTAGGATAGCAAAACCCCTACTAAGCATAGAATCAAAAAAAGATATCAAGCATTCTAAGAGTTTGGGATTTTACCTTCCAAGTTTACAAGTTAGCCTGGAACAGTTTCATGGATGCTAGCAAAGGATGTGAGACTCCTGGGTCAGAGACACAAAACTTCATTGCAGCAATAGCAGTAGCCAGATGCCAGATTTGTGGTAGCTTCCTAAGCCCCAGCTCCCACAGGGCAACACTGTGAGGGCCAAATGACACTCACACCTTTCAGGGGAGGCACTACCGAGGCGCAACCCTGAGTTTAGGGAACCCAGATCTCTCATAACAGGCAGTAAGCATGTCTGCCCTTTGGTAAGGAAAACATTGCTATCTCCAAGGATGTCCATTATACAAACATCCTTGAAAAGATAGTCTGGATCTCAAGCAGTCAGTCCTTTCTACTTGTAAGATATGCAGAAATGTGACAGACTCAACAGAAGCCATAAAAGAAAAAAAAATATGTATACATACATATGTGTAAATGCATCTCCCTGAACTTCATTGCCCCCTCGAAAAATTTAAGAGGCAAACAAAATGTAAAAGAGAATAACAAATTATGACAAAAGATTAATACCTGAGTTCTTACATGTTAATTAGAAAAAAGACCTAAAGGATAATGAGTAGGTAATTCATAAAGGCAGAAATATAAATGACCAATAAATACATGAAAAAACATATTTACTGGTCATTAAAACATACTCTGGGCACTGGATATTCTTCTATTAATGAAGAAAAGAAAAAAAATCCCTTCCTTCATGGGGCTCACATACCCCATGTATAGAAAGACAAAAACAAGGGATAGATGAACGCAAAACAAGAACATGAAGTAAAACACACCCTACATGAACTGTGGATGGGCCAAGGAGGTCTCCAGAAGGGACTTTTGAGCAAACACTGAAAGTGTGGGTCTTTGAGGGGAGGGAATTCCCATAGAGCAAGGCAACGGTGGGAGAAGCCCTGGCCAGTCAGGGAAAAACTGTAAGAAGGTCAATGTGGCAGGAAGGGAGAAACCAAAGGGGATAGTGGAAAGATGAGACCCGAGAAGTAATGGATAGCCAGGTGGAATAATGCTTTGTAGGTATTTATTAACCAGGTATCACTGGAGGGTTTGGGTGGAGCAGTGGCATGGTGCGACTTACATTTTTATGGGAACGACTCTACTGCTGCACTATAATCTGAGTGCAGGTACAAGGGTGGAAATAAAGAGGCATTGGGAAGTCACTGTAACTGTGAGACATGCTGGTGGCTTAAACCAGGACAGTAGCAGTGGTGCTGGGGAGAGATGGTCAAATCCTAGATCTATCTGTAGTAGATCTGCTGACAGACCGGAAGCAGATGGGAGAGAAAGGAGTCAAGGATGACACCAGGTAAAAGAAGGGTGATTGCTGTTACCTGACATGAGGACAACTGTAGGATGAGCTATTTGGGGGAATACAGAAGCTCTATTTTTGTTGTTGTTGTTGTTGTTCTTGTTGTTGTTGATTTTCCAGAGGGGTGGGGGGGATGGGCAGAGAGAGAGGGAAACAGAGGATCTGAAGCAGGTCCTGCACTGAAAGCAGACAGCCCGATGCAGGGCTCAAACTCACGAACTGTGAGATCATGACCTGAGTGGAAGTCTGACATGTAAGGGCTGAGCCACCCAGGTGCCCCTACAGGAAGTCTATTTTAAACATGCTAACTTTGAGACACCTATTAAATACCCAAGTGGAAATTTCAAGTAGGCAGTAGAATACTTGTCTGGAATTCGGGGGCAAGGTCTAGGCTAGAGATATAAATTTGAGAGCCCCCAGGATATACCTGGTACTTAAAGCCCCAGCACTAGATGAGATCATCTATCAAATTTGGAGAGATCTCTTTTAAAATTGTCTAGTACTGGAAAAAATATAGGGACCCAATTATGATGGGTAATTTGGAAATATATAACACCAACACTAAAAATGAGCCTTCCTTTTGACCATATAATTACAATTCTATCCTAAATGTATCCTAAGAAAACAGATATGCAAAAAGACTCAAGGAAACTGTCCACATTTTTATTTATAGCAGCAAAACACTGGAAGTGGTCCAAAATCCCCAAAACTATATGCTAAAATAGTAACTTTAGTTTCAGTTATGAGATCACAGGAGATTTTTAAATGTTTCCCTTTATGCGTTTCTGTTTTTCCAACTCTTTATAATGAACAAATAGAACTTATAACCATCCAAATAAACTCTTGCAATTTCAAGAGAAGAGGTCACTGGGTCTTGAAAGCAATATCAGCTCAATTTTTTTTTCATTTGAAACATTAAAATCTAAAATTATTCTGGTCACTAAAAGTAACAAAATACAACATCTAGGCAATTTTGCATTGCAAATAACATATGCCAAACACATCTAAACTTCTTTCCTTAAACAAAACCCAGAGAATAATCAATTAAAAATACATGTTTGCAAATTATTCATAGGATGTAAGATATAAATTTTAACCCAATGATTTTTATACCAGGTAAATTTAAAATTAATTCCATTTACCACGTGATTAAAAATTAGATTCATAATGGATGAAATACTGATTATGCTAATCCTTTCTCTCTGAAGGCTATCAAGGAAATTAAGGAAATAAACATAATAAATAAAATTGTTTCCTCTTCCAAGAAAAAACATTTTAAACATTCATTCAATAAATATTGAGACCTCAGTGTATGTCACACCTTCCCTGGGCATTCTGGGCACACAAAGATGGGAGTTGATAAAGAGAGATTCATCCTAATTGAAAAGACTGTGGGGGAAGTAGCATTTGAGCTGAACTAAGGCAGTTCTGAGATATCACCAGGAAAAATAATTGCAAACTGGAAATACAGTAAAACTATAGGAATAGATAGAGGAAGACATGAATAAAATGCAGAAAATAATGAGTATTCATATTTGGCTAGAGCCCAGGATAACCAGAAGACTATATTCCCCAGTCTCCCTTGCACCTAGTTGGGGCCATGTACCTGAATAAGTAGAAGGTAGAGTGGTACGGAACTTACAGGAATTCTCCCTGAGAGGAAGTGAAACAGGAGATGAAAAAAAAGGGGGGGAAATAATTCATCTTTTTCCCCTTGCATCCTTCTGCTCGAAACTTGGCTATAATGACTGGCGCTTCAGCAGTCATTTTGGATCATGAGGGTCATAACCTAGGAATGGCAATGGGGGAGAGCTAAAAAGAGGCTAGGTTCTCTGATGCCATATCAGCTTTGAGCTGCCAACTCTGGCCTTCTTTTACATAAAGAGATTCTTTTCTGTGTTCTATTTACTATCCTCCAAAAATTGTATTAAAAAACTGAAAAGGATGCCGTCATCTTTAATCAAGTCTCATCTGGTTACATGTATCTCTAATTGAGAACTCAAACATTTTTTTCTCAGAAAGTATAAAAAAACTTCTCCATTTTTCTCTGGTACACATACAAACCAATCACCCCTTGGATTTGATTAAGTTGGAAAATTCTTTCTGGTTATGAAGCAGCCAAGAACATACTTTCTGGTTTCAAACAAACCAGGCCTGAGGTTACATCCTATCGTAACCATGACACCTAGAAAAAAATCTTACACATTAAAGTTAATGTAATTTTGGATGATTCAACAGATAAAATTGGAGAACAAATAGTTTTTTAAAAAGTTGAAACAGTTGTTCAACCTCACAAGTCTTATTTAATATTGCTGAAAACAACTTTAACACGTATCTGTGTATACAACTATAAACACAAATCTATACACAAGTACATGTCTACATGTGTATGTACAGATATATAGAATATATATATCTATGATATATATCTATGATATGACTATATAGTTTTATAAGTTGCATATCATAATGATACTCTAATACCCTGACAAACATAAAGGACAAAATGACACAACAGCACTATCCTAAGCATGCTGTTATTTCCAGCTACTTCTACTATGTTGTCATTAGACAATATATACACATACACACAGGAACACATATTACCTTTAATTTTGTATTCTCAAGATTCAGAGTTTCATTTTCATATTCAACTGAGTGAAGTTTTCTAAGAATTTCTTCACATGAATTTTTACCAACGTCTTCTACTTTCTTCAGGTCTTCCAAAAGATTAGTAATTTGCCTTTGTGATATAAATGATATATTTCATAAAAGTCACAGAAACTTTCATTTAAATAATGCTTTTTAAGTGTGCTTATAAAATTATTTTGGTAGGGTGCACTGTTTCAAAAGTTAATACAAGCCATGGACCAAGGTAAACAGGAAGCAGTTATCTATCAGGTTACTACCTGAGTAACACTGATTAGCAATTATTACCCATCGATGAAGCCAATGAGAAATTACACAACGTTCTCTTCACTATTCAATAAAATGTCTAAACTGTCATCCAAAGGTAATCTGTCTGTCTCTCATTCACACACATGCACATACATATACACAATCTCAGGGACAAAGTTAAATAAAAGGCTCAAGTGAGGCAATACTTCACCTTTAGAAGCAAATGATACACGCTAGTTTACAATGATAAAACTGAAGAGAACATACAGAAGATAAAACATTTAAAAACAGATATTCAGGGTTCATTATTGTTAATCAGTAATAAATTTGAATAAAAGATATGCATTTTGAATCACTGATTTTTCTTTGTTACATAATCCAGGCACTTAAAGGAACAATAACTTTTAGGACTTTGAAACCATTTATGTTTTTATTGTAAACTCCGTTATATATTTTTATACATTCTTGCTCAGTAGAGAAATATTACTTCCATTTTAAGACAAAGCAGTGTTAACATTTACTGCAAATAATAGATGACACATACTCAAATACTAAATATTAACCTACAAAGTTCAAAATGTGAACACCAATGCACTTTTTTTTAATGTTTATTTTATTTATTTTTGAGAGACAGAGAGAGAGCGTGCACAAGCGGAAAAGGGGCAGAGAGAGAAGGAGACAGAGAATCCTAAGCAGGCTCTGCACTATCAGTACAGAGCCAGATGTGGAGCTCAAACTCCCAAACCATGAGATCATGACCTGAGCCAAAATCAAGTGTCAGACGCTTAACCGACTGAGCCACCCAGGCCCCCTAGCCAATGCACTTTTTAATGGGTAATCATTTTATTGCATTTTTGTAATAGAATAAGAAAAGTTTACAGAATTATAAATAGCAAGAATATCAAATCATACGGACAACCTTTACCACATGTAACCCAGAAGAACCAAAATGCAAACCACTTAAAAGAGGAAAGAACTAAAAACACTTATTAAACACTAAAGAGTTTCTAAATTTTTTTCTTACTTTTTCATTGTTTCAATCTGAACTTCCAATTCAGTTTTTTCTATTACAATTTTCTCATAATGACTTTTCCAGGTATTGGAAGCTGAAATTGTTTCGGACAGCTTGGCTTCCTAAAAAATACATCAAGTACTCATCTTGTAATTAAATAACACTTTGGTTTTGTGCAGAGCCCTAAACACAAATACAACATAAACAAGGAAATGCTCATCTTATAAAGGATGGAACTCTTGATACAGAAAATTATTTAGAGTACAACTCCGAACATAGGAAGCTTTTAAAGTAAACGTTGATAGTATCTTTAATTAGTATTGCTTTATATGCGCACAGTGGTAGTTCTAACACATTTTAAGGATGTTAATATAACTATTTTCAAACAATGTTTCATAATTAATGAGGTTAATTTCCTTCCTATTTCCTGAACTTTCATTTTGCATTCTATGTATAGAAGATGTTAACAACCACATAAGCATCAGAGGAGAAAGAAGTCCTTAATGGTAAATACAGAAACTCTTTGCAATTCCACAATTCCACAGCATTTAGTAATGCTTATTATGGATACATAAATGCCTTATTTCTCATTGCTATGATGATGTCAAGCTGTTTTGTAGAGGTCACTCCCATTGGCCTTCAGATACTGTTACTGTTAGCAAAGAGATGAAAATTATAGTGATGGCTTTATCCATTTTGAATGTGAGCTCCCAGACGTAGATTTTTGTCTGTTTCATTCATTGCTAGGGCCTTGAATAGTGCCTGCCATAAAGAAGACTCTCAATAAATAGCTGTCAAATGAATCTACCCTTTACAAACCCACCTAGTGAGCTACAGTCTTTGTGCCCCCTGCCCACATTCTATAGAACAACAAACTCACTAGGAAGACAACAGCGCCAATAATTATTAATCAGAAGATCCAGAAAAAGCAATGATAGCCACTGATATTTATTGGGGGCTTTTTTCCTTACTTCCATCATTCAACTACTTTTTTGGTTTACACTTTTTTTATAGTAATATTGTTGATACACTGAATAAAGCCTAGTATTCTGCTTTCATATTTTATGTAAAAAGAATTTTAGGTTGCACTATGAAGTTTAAGTTGGACTGTGTGTGTGTGTGTGAAGTGTAAGTTGGATAATATTCTATAACATAAAGATTCTTAGAAATTGTATCCGTAAAATAAATGCTATGAAGAAAATTTAAGACATGATATGATAGTTGGGGGACTACTTTGAACAGAGTGGTCAAGGAAGGCCCCTCTGAAGAGATGTCAATTACAAAGATAACTGAATGACTAAAAAAAGAACCAGCTATTGTGAACCCGAGAAGAACATTACAGCCAGAGATAACAGCAAACAACAAATCTCTATGCATTAGAGGAATAGAAAGTAGGCCAATATGGCAAAAAATGTAGGACCGCCAGGCAGTGTGCTTTGACATGTATTTTCTCACTTATTCCTCCCTACGGTGATATGAGATAATAATATTGCCCATCTCCTATTTTATAGTTAAGGAAACTGAAGGTTAGAGAGGTTGGGTGCCTTACCCAAAGTCACAAGGTTCACAAGTGGAAGAGCCCTCCTATACCGTGATCTGGAGCAGGAGCGACATGATGCTATTTAAATAGGAAAACCCCGAGGATGTGAAGGGCTTGATTGGGTTTCACCACTCAATAACACTTCAGGTATTCAACTAAGTCTTATAACTTTCTGGATTTTGAACTTATTCCTCAATTCTTTTTGTCTAGATAAATTCTTCTGAATGTAGATCATCTTTAAATGTTAACACCTGAGCTTATAAAATATTAAGCTGCTTTGTTTACACAGAGTTTATACAAGTCTGCTTTCAATTCTAAAAGATCCTAATGCTATAAGCCTTAACATAAGTTCTTACGAGGTCCAATACCAGTGAGACATTAAAAAGAGTAAATATTTTATTAACTGCTAATTGAAGAAATATAATAATTCATCAAAAACAACAAAGTACTAGCTCCAATTTTCAACTTTGCACTACACCCAAGGATAACTTTCACATGGTGTGTTTACATCAGCAAATGGTTTTAAGTGCATTACAGAGTTCAAATGAAGTGAATTGCTGAATAAAGTCATATGGTTTAATAACATAAATCAGCATTTCCCAAACTGGTGTTCCTTAGAACCCATTCCAAGAGTTGTTTTGTGGGTAAAACAAGAGTTCTGTGGTTAATAAGTGGTGAGAAACTATGAGTTCAATACTCCTCATTATTGTTTTACTTTACTGAAGGCCTACTCAGGGCCTTTAATATGCTAATGTATACTGTCTGCTTCCAAGGGGGAATATGTATGAAGCATTACCCTTAGTTTGCATTAGATGCTTTGGGACACATTTAATATATCCTTTAATAAAGTTCCCAAGGAAAGACTGATAAATTTCAATATGCAAATGTGACATTTTATATAATCTTTCAAAATAAAGACTAAAGCAACAGAGTAAAGTTTTTCTAGTGTCAGTAGCATTAAGAGAAGAATAAGATTTATATTAAGCATTATGACATTAACTACATAAACTAAGTACATAGGACAGTAAACAAAGAATGTATATATACTTACCCGATCTCTAATTTGGGAAGTAAGGTTTTCCATGTCTCCAGTAAAGTGTTTAAGCCTTTGTTTGTAAATTTTAGATGCCTTTTTTAGAGCTATAGTTTTTTGCCTACTTGATTCTTTCATTGCTACAGCTTCATGCTTATTCTTTCTCAGTTCTAAGTTCCATTCAGTTATCTTGGTTTCTAAGCTCTATAAAATATATATATTAGTAATATTTAAATTATTTTGGAACTCGATCTTTATGTAACATTATAAACATATATAATCTTCCATGGATTTTATCAAAAGGATTAATCATAGGATTAATAACAAGCATAACAGTAAAGAAAGGTAGTTTTACCATTGTTTATTTGTAACCAGTTGTAGAATGAAAATTTAAAATATATAAGCCTACAGAAAACTAATCCTATTCTTATTAAAGGTACTAATATTGGTGATTATGGCACAAGCATTTTCTTAAAACTTTCGTAATTAACTAGAACTTTTAAAAATTTCACATCTAGAATATTATACATAGTACTGGTTATGAAAATCAAAAAAACATAATTGAGCTGGAGACAATTCAAACAAGATACACAAAGCTTAAAGGAGTCAGTAGCTCCCTACACACATTAGGACTCTTTAGTTGCAATGATAAAGGCTTAAAGGACATATGATCAAAATCTACAGACCACAAAAGATACAGATGAGATAAACACAGGCTTACTTAGCAAATTTTAATTTACTAGAATTAGGGGGAATGCCTTGACACTCAAAGAATTACATCAAGGGCAATAAAAGTGTTCCTTTATCTGGTAACTTTGTGGGAGTTATTAATCCAAGACTAAAGAGGCTTAGAAAGGTAAATAACTATCAGATCCATAAGAATTAGTAAAAGTAAAAAGACATCTGAGGGGCTGAGGGATGTGTTTCTGTCCATTGACTTTAATGGTGTTAATTGGCATCACAGTTTCCTTACATATCTCTTGGTGGCATAACTAGAGACAGAATATTAGGATGGATGGATGATGGATACGATTTAGTGTAACTCTCATGCTTTTATTTCAAATTAAGACTTTGTATTTAAAGTATTTGAATACTAAATATCTAAGAATTTACAGACTTAAGATTTTAATGCTTTTACATTTTTTCAAAGTTGCATAATACTGAAAAAATAGTTAAATTATTACAGAATTTAGGTTTCAGTGTAACATGTTTTGGACAATCATTTTAATGAAAAAAATCAAAGGAGTCACAGTAAAAGACTGGGTTTTCTATTCAACTCCATGATCAATAAAAACTATGCTTCTTAACTTCCACTAAAATTGAGATTAAGAAGTACAACTTGGGGTGCCTGTGTGGCTCAGTCAGTTAAGCATCTGACTTCGGCTCAGGTCATGATCTCACGGTTCGTGGGTTTGAGCCTCACGTCGGGCTCTGTGCTGCCAGCTCGGAGCCTGGAGCCTGCTTCAGATTCTGTGTGTGTGTGTCTCTCTCTCTGCCCCTCTCCCCCGGCTCACGGTCTGTCTCTCTCTTTCTCAAAAATAAATTAAAAGTTAAAACAAAATAATAATAAATAAATAAATACATCTTAAATAAGATTTAAAGACGTTTTCTTTGAAAAGTGAACTAGGTAGATTATGAAAAGTAGCAAAACACTCTTACATCGTCTTTAGAAATGTATTTAAACTAAAAACAAAAAAATCCCATGAAATGTTTTCATAAGTAGTTGGAGGAAAACAAGAATAAAAGCAGTCCAAGTCTACTGAAGACTCCACAGGAAATACAGCTGTCTTCCTCTAAGAAACCACAGGGTGTCACCATCACACCACAAATAATTGCTACAATTTCAGCAGTAAACCATTTTCAACACCAAAGGTGAAATAAATTTTTTTTTTTTTTGGAATAAGGTTCTAGCCAGGGCATTCTCACTAGACTTATCCTATCTCACATTTGATCACTATTAGGGAGTATACCAAACTACCAAATTATTTTTATAGTTTCAAAATAAATAACTCCTCACAGTCTTTTGACAAATGAACAGAAACATAAAGTCAACTACTTGTCTTTCCCTATTTCCAAAGTAGTATACATGCTGCACATTATAAAGATAGCTATTCTGTGTCTTCTAAATTGTGAAAATATTCTATATCTAATTGTTATATAAAGATCCAGAAAGAACTGGGTTCAAAGTATCTTTGGGATAGTTCTCACAGAACTAAAATACAATTAAAAAATTTTTAAAGACCTACATAACAAACTGACTCAACTGAGTCAAAACTAAAATACTAAATAACTGAAATTTATGTTACCAAAGTGAGCTCATTATCTTTGAATTCGAAAAAGAACCTTGTGAAACCTAATGGAAGAATTCAACTCTGATCCCCCAATTAATGCCTTAAATTCCAAAACTGTGTTAGAGGAAATGTAGAAAAATCAGTAACCTAATGCAACCTCTTTTAATTATTTCTAAACAGCGGTATTTTTGTAATGGAATTTAAACTCAAAGTATTGAGAGAATGTCACAGCAAAATCTTAAGATTTTAGTCTTATATTCGCTCTCTAAATTATCATATTAAAAATTGCTAACATTAACTTTAAAAAATCATTTAATATTCCATTTTTAAATTGAAGAAACATATTTTCAAAAACTTCCCCAACTGCTCTTTGAGGACCGAATTAAAACTTGTGAGATTAAGTGTGATAGATGCTTATCTGAGGTGTCAGACCACATGCATGCTATTGTAAATACCGTAACAGAGGAAGGCAATCTCATCTGGGATGCCCTAGACCACCACGCAAAGGACAAAGGGGATCCATGTGGGAAAGTGCTCAAAAGAACATGTAGGAGGACAAAGGACAAAATTCGCATTCCGCATAAGCCTGCTTAATGTCCCTTTACTGGGCAAAAGCTTTTCCTCCTTGAAGAAAAAAAAAAACCAAAACATCCCAAGTGAAGTCTTGAAACATGCCACAAGTTGCAAACACCTGCAAAAGCAAACAAATTTAACACAGATGTGCTCACATTCCATAGGGGCTATCTTTGCACACTTTCCTGAAAATGAGAACACTGTGTCTTTTCCTTCAGCAAAAAATAATGACAATAGATCCAGTTAGCTTGTGTCATATCACAGAACCTCAAATTCTTCTTTCAAAATGCCTGTGAGGTTTCCAAAAGAATATTTAAACCAGAAACTGAGTTTAAACCAAAAAGTTCCCCTTGATTACACTGCTAAAAAACTGCATAACAAGAATGCTACTCAGTTTTCTAAATACCAAAGCTGGGTCAACTGATTTTAAAGTTGTTACCATTAATGACAAAAACAAAAATAATAAACGTTTACTGACTGCCTACTAATGTGAGAGTATATATTTATGTGTGGATGTAGAAAATAGAATTCTATATACCAAAACATTAACAATGGTTTTGGTATTTTTAAGTTATTTTAATTTTCTCCTTTGTATGTTACAAATTTTCCACAATAAACATAAATTAACTATATAATGGGAAAGATTTTTAAAGATATTCAAGCTCTAGAAATCCTTCCTAGACTGGTACTAAAGAGAGAGAGCATTTTTATATTGGGATTTGGAATCACATCTTTGGATGAGCCATAAATCTTAAGATTTGCCTCAAATATGTATTTCCCATGGCAACACTTAGATTGAATTTTTCCAAAACCACCAAATTCCAGAACTAAGGAAAGGCTTTATAGTTGTTCATTAATTTTATCACTTAAACTATAAAAGTGAATGAATATTTATAACCTTTATATATTCTTTTAATTTATCATTCTCTGCTTCCTTTTTACGAATTTGGAGCTGTAGTCGTTCATGTACTACTTTTACTGATTGTGAAAAACGGTTTGCTTTCAAAGCATTTGCCTATAACAGAGAAAACAAACAAAAAAAAAATGTGTTACTTCTCAAAAATCTTTAACTTTATCCATACTTAGACATGATCTAAAAAGCTAATAAAAAGCAAAGTACCACTGTAAATTATCCCTGATCTCCCCCATTATAAATATATTTTATATAAACTATGGGGCTATTTAATCCTCCCCCCTTTTATTTAATGGTTCCTGATAATCTCCTTTTGAAAAGTCCTATCTATCCTAAGTAAATTATATCTAAAATGCTTCTACAGGGGCACCTGGGTGGCTCGGTTGGTTAAGCGTCGACTCTTGATTTCGGCTCAGGTCATGATCTTATAGTTGTGAGATCAAGCCCCATATTGAGATCAAGCTTCACGTTGAGAGTTGAGAGTGGAGCTTCCTTTAGATTCTCTCTCTCTCTCAAAATAAACAAACATTTAAAACTAAATAAGTAAAATGCTCCTATAAACACCAAAATTCCTCAGTTTATACTAAAATTGAAATACAATACAAATTTATGCATAGTTCCTAATATATAGTGATTTATGCCAATTAACCTGACCTAAGTATCATAAAAATCTTTAAAAAAGAAACTGAAAAAAAAAGATATTTCATAAAAATTTGTAAAATATCTAAATAATCTAAAAATATTTCTGGGTCTATTTTTGAGGATATGGGCGCCAGAATGGAAAGAGGGAAAAGAGGGAGTCAATATTGAGAAAACTGATAAATTAAGCTCAGAATCTGCTTACCTTTTCATTCTGAAACAAACAAGAAAGTTCTTGAATATAGGTCTCCTTTTCAAGTAGCTTCTTCTTAAGATTCTTCAGCAAATATAATGTAAGATTTAGAAATATCACAATTTGGATAATGTTGACTAATTTTATAAAAACAAGCAGCACATACATAAAAAATGTCAGAGTAGACACAAAGTGTAAAAAGACTTACAATATTTTCATTGTCATTATCAGTTAGCTTCTCTAACATGCTGGATAAACTGTCCCCTACCTATTAAAAGATATAAAAGATATAAAAAAAAAAAGATATTATAAATCAGTGCTCACAAACATATTTCTCTACATATAAAAGTACAAAGAAGAATAAGCATCACTAAAGAAATATGGGCAACTTTTATGCACAGTTTAGATTTTTTAAAAGGTCATCAGATCGATTTTTGCCTGAGTGTTCCAAATCATTTTGTGTCCACAATTTATGAAATTAATTATATACCTAATTTCTTTTTTTTTTTTTATTTTTTTTCAACGTTTTTATTTATTTTTGGGACAGAGAGAGACAGAGCATGAATGGGGGAGGGGCAGAGAGAGAGGGAGACACAGAATTGGAAACAGGCTCCAGGCTCCGAGCCATCAGCCCAGAGCCTGACGCGGGGCTCGAACTCACAGACCGCGAGATCGTGACCTGGCTGAAGCCGGACGCTTAACTGACTGCGCCACCCAGGCGCCCCTATATACCTAATTTCTAAATAACACCTCAGACAGTAGAAGCCAATGACATAAAAACCACAAAAATCTGGGGTGCCTGGGTGGTTCAGTCAGTTAAGTCTCCAACTTCAGCTCAGGTTATGATGTCACTGTGGGTTCAAGCCCCGTGTCAGGCTCTGTGCTGACAGCTCAGAGCCTGGAGCCTGCTTCGGATTCTGTGTCTCCCTCTCTCTCTCTGCCCCTCCCCTGCTCACACTCTGTCTCTCTCTTTCAAAGAAATAAACATTTTTTAAAAATCTTATACACAAAGACACTCATGGTGCTGTTTACAAATAGGTTAAAAAATATCAGCAAACTTAATTCTATCAAGATTTTTTTTTAAAGAATTACAGCACATCAGTAAAAGAATTCTAAGTAGACATTTTAAATGAGAACATAGGAAAATGTTTATTTATTTTAAGGGTCATATTCCTGCTTGAGAAGGTGAAAAAGCTATGAATTTCTTTCACCCAAAGACATTTATACCATGTACAAATAATGCAAAATTGTACACATACTTTCAGAGGGCTCATGGACTGCATAGAGCCCACTCTTTGACTCTGTAAAGGTACACAGTGGATTGCCTGGCATACAAATATTTTCATTTCTGTTGGGTATATACCACTTGTAAGTGAATGTTCACAGCAGTTTTATGCATTACAGCCAAAAAGCAGAAGCAACCCAAACGTCCATTAATTGAGAAACAGACAAATAAAAATGGTACAGCCATACAATGAAATATTATTCAGCAATAAAAAGGAAGCGCTGACATGTGCTACAACACGGGTGAACCTTGAAGACTATATTAAATGAAAGGCAGTTATGAACAACCACTTATTATAGGATTCTATTTATGTGAAATGTCCAGAATCAGTAAATTCATAAAAACAGAAAGTAGCTATTAGGGTAAGGAGGGGCTGGTGGGGGTGGGAGATAGACGTGGTGATGAAAACGCTCTCACAGTGTGGTGACTGCTACACAATTCTGTGAATATACTACAAATCACTGAATTGTACACTTTAAAAGGGTGAACTGTATGGTATGTGAATTATCTCTCAGCAAACTGTTACCCTCAAAAAATAAAAGAATATATAAACACAGTGGTACAAAGTAGCTAAATTCTAAGAAAATTTTACTGTAATCAGCTGAAATGAAATATAACAAATGAAAATTTTTGAGATAAAAGATACAAGTATATTTTCTATAAAAACATGCTGCTTTCATGTAGAACAATTTGTGAAATACTAAGAGTCAGGGTTAGTTTAATGATTGCCATTTCAAACAAAAATTCAGGAATTCTTTCCATTTCAAATATACCAAATTTGAAGTTTCAAATCCTAAAACAAGTATTTAGGATATAGGCCAATGAAAAGTATGCTCATAATTTAATTTCTACAGTTTCAGAAATAGTAAACCCATCAAGTGAGAAACAAATCTATTAAATTAGTGCTTAGGGTCCTTACTTGTTGGTATTCTGTCTTTCTAAGAAGATGTTCTAAAGCTTGTTTTACATGTTTAAAAGTGTCTAATTCTTTTGTTAATTTTTCCTTCTGTTTAGCAATCTTCAAATTGAATGCAAAAAGATTAGCCTGACAAAATATAAGAACCACATACACATTTTAAGATACAGTATTAAGACACTCTAAAACACAATGTTGCGGGGCGCCTGGGTGGCGCAGTCGGTTAAGCGTCCGACTTCAGCCAGGTCACGATCTCGCGGTCCGTGAGTTCGAGCCCCGCGTCAGGCTCTGGGCTGATGGCTCAGAGCCTGGAGCCTGTTTCCGATTCTGTGTCTCCCTCTCTCTCTGCCCCTCCCCCGTTCATGCTCTGTCTCTCTCTGTCCCAAAAATAAAATAAAACGTTGAAAAAAAAAAAAAAATCCAATTTCTAAAAATAAATAAATAAATAAATAAATAAAATACAATGTTGCTATTATCAAATAATAGTTTTTTCTAGTAACAAAATCATTTTTGCACATAGTAAATTTTGCCAAGTTTATTAATAGTAAATAGGATTGTATATCATACATTAAAGTAATGAAATCAAAATAGGGCTTAAGCCCTAAAGTATTTCAGGCATTTATTTTAATAAAACTAATAGAATACAGTCTATTTTTTGTCTCTAATTCAAAATTTAGTACACTGAAATTAGAGAATACAGGTTTCTATTCCCTATAACACTATAGAAAACAGATCTATTCATCTCTCAGAATATTTTAGTTTACATTCACTCTTGGAAAAGTTGACTCTCTAGTTCAAATTCAGGTAAGTCAAGCACCAAGGTATACATTTTCTAGCTTAGCTTCTTATCAAGGGCATGCCTGAATTATCTTTGAAGGAAAGAATTGCAGTTAATGACATAGGAATAAAGAAGAATGATAAACCTGCAATTTTTTTATATCAAATACCAGCATATGAGCATAACTGCATTAATAAGGGACCACAGGTAATGCATTCTGAGTATTATGCTAGCTTTCCATTTTATAAGATGTTCACAAGTCAAGTACTCACATTTTCAAAACTAATCTCTTCAACGGTATCCTTAAATAATGGCAAAAATAATTCTACAGAACAGGTTGCCAATTCAGCTTCCTTAAATGTTGCTTCCAGTTCAGTCTTTTCATTTAGGATGTCCTGCTTTCCACTAGATGTGTACAAATAAAATTTAAGTTAAATCTGTCACATATTTATGCAAATATAGCACAGCTTGACTAAATATTACAGTTCTACAAACTGCTCTCCAAAATGTAACAGTAAATTGTCACTGAAAACGTATGGAATTTTTCCTATACTCCCCTATTTTTCTATACCTAATATACACAGACAGTTTTTAAAACACTGAGATATGTGAAACACAAAACCACCAACAGCAATGTTTCACTGTGCTACCTGATAATTACTGAACATCTCTTTTCTAGTTTATAAAATGACTTGCAAGAATGTGTATGCCTTTTTTACTTCCCTTCCTTCTCCCTACTGTAAACCCAAAAGATTTGCCTTACTCCCAAACTGTTTCTTTTAATTTACTGTTCAAAAAAAAAAAAAAAAAAAAAACCTCCAAAGAATAAATAAGCTAACCAAATGAAACACAAAATAACTGAGCTCTCCAGATCTCAAAAATTCCTTCACACTTGACTTTATAATGAACACCATTCAAAACAAAACTGTTAACATTTGCCTTCTTGATTGCGTAGGCATTACTGTGCATCACTGTAAGAAACGTTTCTTTGGTCACATTTTACACCCTGAAATCAGGATGCTTCTTGTAATCTTTGTTAGTCGAGAGGCAGTCCTGAGCAGTCTTTCCTGCACATGCCCAGAACTTACAGAATAGATGGCCAGTGATGGGATGCCATGCCAGAGATGGGATGCACACTTTTTAACCCCTAAGAATGCAGGGTCATAGAGGGATTGAAGGAGCTGGTGAAGCAAGAATGCTTAGCAACATTCCAGAAGCAAGACTCCAATACAGGCTTGCTGGATAGCATAATTAAGAGCCCAACACCAATAAATTTTATTTCAGCTAAAGATGCTCCTAAGAAATGCCATATGACCAATACTCTCAATAGCAAGGAAAACTCTGAGTCAAAAAGTGACTCAGAAGAGTTGGATTTTGAGTATAAAAAAAAAATTTTTTTAAATACCATACATTTCATTTTTATATAAGCACAGTTACTTGAAGTAAAAAAAAAAAATCTAAGTTTGAAGGAGTTTTTTCAAAATCTATAAATAAAATTCCATGTGATAAGAAAACATTGTGTCTTTCTTTAATAGGCAGCTTTTTTCTTTCTTTACAAAACATAACATAATGGCTCATCAACAACTGACGGCATCTTAGAGGCTACGTCAGAAAGCAGATTGCGTTCTTAAGCACTGGGCCTAAGAGGTTAGTTATAAATGACAATTGTCCATTATTAAAACCCATGGGCAGAAGAAAGTCAAGAATGGTTATATATGACCAAATATCATCGTCATTTAAAACAAGCTAAACTAGAGGTTGGATTATACTAGCAATAGTCACAATAATGGTGTTTTAAGACTGTCATTTTGGTGAGCAATGAATCATACAAATAACAAGTATATTCCCTGCTCTAAAGAAGATAGCAAAATATGACAGGTATTTGTTATATGGCAATGTTCCAAATGACAGTGAATTGATACTCATCAACTACATTTCCAATGTTCCACAGTATTTATACTTTCATTTACCTTAGCTATAATAATTCTCAATAGTTAAGGTTTTCATTTTCATTTGCTTTCATTAAGATTCCAAAAAACCAGCCAAATTCTGCCAAATGAGTACATTTGTGACGAGGTTAAATAAATACATGAATTGCTAGATTTGAAGAAGATACTCTTGGAAGAATGCTGTATTTGATTCAAATAATTTACCCTACAGACGAAACATGAAACCCTGAAATCAGAAAATTAGATATTCCCTGCTAGCATGGAGAATACCAGCTGAGGGGCACCTGGGTGGCTCAGTCAGTTAAGCGTCCGACTTTGGCTCAGGTCATTATCTGGCGGTCCGTGAGTTCAAGCCCCACGTTGGGCTCTGTGCTGACAGCTCAGGGCCTGGAGCCTGCTTCCGATTCTGTGTCTCCCTCTCTCTCTCTCTGCCCCTCCCCTGCTTGCGCTCTCTCTCAAAAATAAACAAACCTTAAAAAAATTAAAAAGAAAAAAAAAGAATACCAGCTGAGATGACTTTCACTGGCAGGCTGCAATAAACGTTCATTCTCTGGGGTACTTTTAAAATGAGGACATAGTTTTTCTGAATGACTTCCATCAATTGCAGATTTCTCCATAAATTTGGTAAATGGATTTATAAGTGGCGTCCACAACAACTTCTCATAAGCTGAAAGTTATGAAATATTTTAGTCATTAAACATCATTTCAGTAGACTCTTTTTTCTGTCATTACCCTGTAAAATAAAAATCCTAAACAAGTATAAAGAGTAATATTTCACAGACAAAATAGAAATTATAACTGCTACTCATTGTGATACTAATTCAAAAAGTATCAAAATTGCATTGCTCAACCATTCAACAATTGCCAGTCCCCAGACACATTTTCCAAAAGGCCTGTTATTTTCTACATAACAAAAATGTAGAAATTTTTATTAATCTATTTCTGAGTATTATAATATTTTAATTCAGTCAAACTAGAAAACAAATATAAAAACTATGGTTAACTCTGGTCCTCAGTTTCATTGTATCTACCCAATAGGAAATGTAGGTCATTTACGCCTAGAATAGCAGAAATTTAATATACTTTTAAAGTATTTGGCAACAAAAGCCACAAGGAAGATTAAGTTATTCTTTTGAAAGTAGATCTTTCAAAATTAAATTTATTCCCAGATCCCAGCTCAATCTAGGATATTCTTTACTGATAATAGATGACAATACTTCTAAGTTTTACTATACAACTGTTTTCACTCAAACTTAGAGATGTCATTTTTGAAAAATTTTTAAGTTTATTTATTTATTTTGAGAGAGAGAGAGAGAGAACAAGTGGAGGAGGGGCAGGGAGAAAGAGAGGGAGAGACACAATCCCAAGTAGGCTCTGTGCTGTCAGTGCAGAGCCCAATATGGGGCTCAATCTCATAAACCCTCAGATCATAATCTGAGCCAAAAATCAAGAGTTGGACCCTTCACCAACTGAGCCACCCAAGCACCCCAGATGTCATGTTTTTAAATATGAATACTCATGAATATCTTCAGAACTGTTCCATTTTAGGTAATGTTAGTGCTTTAGCAATCATTAAAGCTATGTTTTCATAACTCCGTTATATGATCATGTGTCTCCCTGACTTCATCTGTCTCCCTGACTTCATCTGTCTCCCTGATCATGTGACTCCCTGACTTAAATCAAATGTTATATTTAAGATTTTCTGCATGCTTTCAGAAATATGTTACCTCTTTGTAATTTATTTTTATAAATCTGCGTTATACAATACATATGTTCAAGAAATTTCAATACTTTGGGTAGATGTGAAGAAATTATAGGTTGAAAATTACTCATAATAAAAAAAAAAGAAAATTACTCATATTTCCAAATTACAGACACTTCTAAAGTGTTTGTAAAAATGTATCTACTTTTGTCTGAAGTTTCTATTTATCACCGAGACAAATATTTAGGATATAGGCCAATGAAAAGCATGCTCGTATTTTTGAAATACCAGCAACTCATGTACAAGTAGAACTGCTAACTAACCTACCGATAGTCCCAGATGATCTACTTAAATGCTGCAAACATGAAACATCTGTTAGTAGGCATGATATTGTGAGCTATCTGAAGTCTAGAAGAATTTAAAAATATACAGATACACACAATCAAATGAAAAGCCAAACCTAACAGTGAAGAAGACTATGATCTGGAAAAGGCACTGCAATCAGTAGTACTATCATGTACTGAGTTGTTTGGTTCCAATAGCTACCCTACTCACAGAGGAACTGGTCTTTACTTTCAGCCATTCGCTTGTTTAGAATTTGTCTCTCTGCACATTGGCATCTCAAGAAAGAATACCTTATTTATATTTGAATCCTCAGCACCTACAAGCCTTATAACAGCAAAGCAATAATTGAAGGAGAGAAGACTCAAGGTTTAGAGCAGTTAATGTGATGAATCAAGACAGTTGCTTTTTAGTTATTCACCTCACTGATCCATCTTTTTAGGGATCATTAAAAGAAAAATGTTTCCTATATTTGGAATAAAAGTTCAAAAATTAATGTAAGAGGATTAGGGGTCTTCAATTTGTAGACATATTTTAAAAGATTCAGTTTGGCATCAGTATTTTAAAAGTAAGTTCTCACTTGGCTTTGTGGGTTATTGGTAGCTACTTATACAATTTTTCTAAAGTTTTATCATAAGATGAAATCATACAACATTTTTCTGCTTCACCTATTAAAAAAAAAGTAACCATGTCTTACCTTAAAGAATAAACAAAGTTAACACATTGTAAAAAAGAGATTTTAGAATGACTTTTAGCCCAACATTCAAAAAAAAATGTTACCTTCATTACTGATTCTTCAAAACATAAAGAACTGTGTAAGTCTCAGACATTTCCATAGAAATGATCAACAATGATATTCTTACACAGTAGAAGTATTTTCTAGGATAAAAATTGTTCAAAGGTTCCAAGGCATTCCGCTATTTTTGTGTTGTGACAGTATTATAATAACCAAAACCATATGAGTGCCGAAAAACAATGTAATAATTTTCTTTAGCATAGAAAGTCCCACCTTTATAAAAAGTGCTATCATTTTAGTGGACCAAACGTATTCTTGTATGGAAAAGCAGATGTTTCACAAGAAAATGCTTTCAATTACGTGGAATGTACTGCCAAATGACAAATACATTATACTTCTGTACAACTTGGTGGTGAGACAAAGACATACTCTGCACACATATTTAATAATCAAAGCCCCAAAGATTACCAATTTAAATATATTTTAATGTTTAAAGAATTGAATTTCCTATACAAGGATGACTTTACCAGCCCCCTCTCAAAAGGGCATGTACTTAAAGCTTTTTCCAGGCGTGGTCATGGTTTATGCTGACCCAGCTACACTCACTAAACTATGTTCCATTTTGGCCAACAACCAGCATTTGAGGAATGGCTGTTCAGGGACTGTAATGCTAGCCACGGTCAGAGAAAGAAAGGTCCCAGTTCATGACCTTCCTTAGCATCTAGATTGCTCTAAGTAAGCAAACCAGCTGCAGACAAATATGTATTTAAAACTATCTCTCTGGAGAAAAGCATAAGAATCTCACAGATTTGAACTTGTTTTGCCAAACATTAATTCTTGGAAAACCAGCTCCCATTGGACTGAAATAGTCAGCAAAGAACACAAAGTAGATATAGGAATGCTGCTCGTTTCTCTCACTATATCTACACACTAGTCAAAGTTCACTAGAGAAGAAACTGTAGAGTCCCGCAGAACAAATGTGAGTGTGGCAAAAAGGAAGAGAAAAAGGCATTCTAGGTAGAAGGTGAAGTACAAGCATGAGGAAGGAATCATGAGGGGACATGATTTGTAAGCACAAGTGACAAAGGATGACACTGGACACACTGACAGTGGTCACTGTATGCCAAGCTCAAGAGCTTGAATTTTTTCCTAAGCGTTAAGACAGACCATGAAATCATTTTAAGCAGGGTAATAACAGACCAGAAGTACCTCTTTAAAAGGTAAATCCAGTGGATTTATTTTGGAGAGTGGACTAGGTATATGGAGGGGGAGAAACGTAGAAGCAATGAAACTGGTTACTAGGGTCTCAGAGAGATGAAATTCCAACATTCATTTCCTAGAAAAAATTTTGAAGAAATCAAAAGTTGTTTCCACTGGTGATAAGAACATGAAAAACAATGAAGGAATTAGAATTAGAATAGCAAGAGATCAGTACGGACCAAATATAACACCTCATTTACCCACAACCATCTGAATGGATTGTTCCACATATCCGTTCCAGAAAATGACAGTTTGTCCCTTTAAATACCACAATTAACCTACTATTTAAAGAAAATCTTCTGGAAGTACTGCTTCTTTTTCAAACAGAGTACAAGTAGCCTAAATGCAAGTTAACCACTCCTTAAGGACTCAGAGGCGGCATACATATTAAAATAAAAGAATACTGGGCCAGACTCACCCGTTCTTAGTCTTGGGAGACACCCGACATGGACACCTCTTAGCCACAGTGAGCATTAGTTTTCTCTTCTACAAAATGAGAATAACCTTTGCCAGCCAAAGCTGTGGGGAAGTTTGAACAGATGAAGTAACTTACAGGTGGGGGTTTTGTTTGAATGTTTTTTTAAATGTAGGGTCCCTTTGGCTCACTATTGTGGCTGCTTTTCCCACCAGGTCTTCTTTTTAAATTTTTTTCATCTTGGGGAGCCTGGGTGGCTCAGTCGGTTAAGCGACCGACTTCAGCTCAGGTCATGATCTCACAGTTCCGTGGGTTCAAGCCCCACATCGGGCTCTGTTCTGACAGCTCAGAGCCTGGAACCTGTTTCAGATTCTGTGTCTCCCTCTCTCTCTCTGCCCCTACCCTGTTCATGCTCTATTTCTGTCTCAAAAATAAAAAATAAACAGTAAAAAAAAAATTTTTTTTTAAATAAGTTTTTTTTCATCTTAAAAAAAATCATCCTGAGTCAATCACCATTCCTTAAATCACTTGTAGGCCTGAGTTATCTGTATAAAACCAACTTTTCAAAACAATCATTACAACTCTTCAAGGTAGTCATAATTTGAGTACTACTAAACCAGATCCCAAGCAAAAGAACTGAGCCCAGGGGGTAGATGTTATATCCACCTCATTGTTGTGCTCAGTTCCTTGGGTCTCATTCATTTGTACAATATAAACAAAGCCATTTTCTCATACCTTTGGGGTTTTGGTGATACAAAAAGTATATTATTTATACACATAAACTGTGAAAGTAGAAGAAAAAAAGCAGAAAATGGTCCCTAGCTGTTAAAGAATTACAAACATGAACATGACATGCTTATTGTAAGCGTAAGGAAATCAAACTAATTTTAAGACAGGTTTTCTGCGATTTGTTCCTTTAACTAAGTGGTGTTTAAAAGGACTCCAAGAACCTCATTCATTCCAAAACACCTGAAGCCTTACTATGAGTGATAGGGAAACTTTGTCTCCGAAATAGACTTTATCCCAAATACCAGCCCCACTGTGGCTATGGTTTTCTCAATCAACAGCAAGCATTCCTTACTGACTATACTCAAAACCTGGCATTGGTTTAATCTCCTTTATTACAACCACTCCAAAGTGATTATTATTACCCTCATTTTCCAGATAAGGAAACTGAACCTAGGAACGTTAAGTGGTCGGTCCCCAAGGCCACACATTTTAAGCGGTTTCCTAAGGAGTCTGGAAACCTAGAAGGAACCTGGAGGACTTAATTTCCGAGGCTTCCTGGAGTATTCTTCACTTAGGTGCCCCAGGGCCTACTACAGTCTGGTATATTATATAGTGGTCGCTTAAAAGCCAGCCAAAAGAGCCGGCCGGGTATGGGCTTAGTTCTGGATAAAACCATCGACTAAAACTTGCCCCTCTGTCCCAAGGATCACACCCTCCCTAGGAGTACGAGCCTCGCTGCCTTTTTCCCAGCCCAGGCAGTCAAGCCTGGGGCAAGTAGGAGGTATGGGCAGAAAGGAGCTAAAGTCTAGCGAGAGACTTTCACTTCCGGGACCCACCACAGCCCCGGCCACCAGAACCCCGAAGGGTGCCCGCGGTAACCACAAAAAAGCGGTCCAAGCCCAAGCTTCCCCCTCCCCAAAGCGTGCCTACGCCCCCACCCCTGCGTCAGCACGCCCCCGTGACGTCAGCCCGCCGCCGCTCCGCCATGGAAGGAAGGGGTCCGAAGGAGCTGGCAAGATGAAGCTGAAGGGAACGTTAGTGGAAATCACGGCCAGCGTACCTGTGCTCTCCAGCCCTGGGTCGGCTAGGAGAGAGCGGGACGCAGGGGGAAGTGCAGTAGGTGATAGCTAGAAAAGAAGTCAAAGGACGCGAGGTGGCAAGCAGGAGAATTCCTAGAACCGCTTGCGTGGAAGAGTGCCCATCCAGGTGCAACTGGACGAAAGCGGAGCCAGTAACCATCAAGTAGCTTCTGTGGCAACGGCTGCCCCGCCCCTTCCGCCGAGCCGCAGCCGGCGCAGCCAATTGGCTGGGCTCGGGAAAGCAAGCGCCGGCGTCTGTTGCTATTGGTGGGAGTGAGGGAGGGGGGCTGGGGAGAGGCGCTTTGTCATTCAGTTGCTGCCCTGGGTCAGATTTTCCCGCTCGCCGCCCAAACCTTTTGTTTTACGAAAAGGCAGCACTTGTGTGTAGTTACCAAAAATCTTAACTGAGTTCAACCTAGAAAGGGAAATAAGGCCGACTGGTTCCGAATTTTTCTGACACTCGGCCTGGAAGTGCTCTGCTTTTGCTTTTTAATGAGATTTGAAGAAGCCAAAGCAACCGCGACTATAAGAAACTTAGTTTTAAATTAAATATATGGTACTGCCGTTTAGCTGAGATCCTTCCCCAGGGCTCTTTTATTCTCCTGTTAAATGTGGGAGCCGGACCGTGATCTCCAAGGCGCCTTTCAGATCTCCGATCTCTGACCTAAAGCCAACTGGTATGATTTATAAACTCCTGAAGAAACAAGGCGAGATTTAAATTGAAAAGTAAAAACTCTCCACCTCAACTTAATGCTCATGTTAAGAATTACACACCATCATATGAAGTACACAAACGGAGCAACTATCAACTGAGCAATTTAACCATGACAAGGCATACCTCGTTATTGGTTTTACTGAAGAATCTTTTCCATTGATGATTCCAGAAAAGCTTTTTTTTCCCCCAGTGCTGAACGTCCAGCAAAAAGTTAATGATAGTTAAAAGTTCATAACTGTTCCATATGTGCAAATGCTAAAAAGCACTGAGGACTGGATCCATCTCTTACTGATGGGTCATGATCTCTGTCAAGTCATCTACTCTAGTCTGGGCCAGTTTCCCATTCTTTAAAAAAAGGAGGTAGTTGGACATGTGGAATTGGGGCAAGGAACGTAATTTTGAGGGTCTTTCCAGCACTTACCTAGGATTCTAGCTAACCTTGCTAGCTTGTCATAATAAGAAAAATAATTGTACACAGAAGATAGACTTCTTTTATTAAAAATACTTATTTTAATTAAATTGCATTGGTATTAGACGTGACCACCTTTATTAGCCATTCAAAGGGAGAAACATTCACAATAATCTCGAGATGATTACATTAGACTCAAATTGACTATTTTAACCAAACTGTCCAGGTAAATATGGTATCCTTCATCCTCTAAATCTAATCTGTTCTAATCTAAGTTTGAAATCTGTTGGATAGTGAATTTTGGGGTAGAAAGATCACTTATTTTATATAATTTAAATGGAAAAAAAATTTCATTCCAGCGCAACCTAAACTGCCAATCAATTTCCCCAAATATCATTAAATACCGACTACCTATGAAATAATCCATCAAGGATTTCTTCATAATTTAAAGTAGAGGCCAGCATACTTTCTCTGTAAAAGGCCACATAGTAAATATTTTAGGTTTTGTGAATTATACAGTCTCTGTCATACTTTACTCTGCCAATGATGCGTAAAAGATGTCATTGGGGATATATAAATACATGGTTTCTCTGTGTTGCCGTAAAACTTTATTTACAAAAATAGATACCAGGATAGATTTGGCCCAAAGGACATTGTGTTCAGACCTCTAATATAAAGCATTTAAAACATCAAGTATGTCATAAACATTAAACTCATTAGTGCGTGCAGGATGCAACAATGCAATATTGGAGAAGTAATTTTGTTTTCCTTCCTCTTGGGAAGAAATATATAACGTAAAAATAGCAAACAGTGAAATATTAAAGACACTTGATAAATACAAATAAAACTTAGCAAAATAAAAAAGCCATTTAAAAACAGTTTGGTTGTGTAATAAATTATTTTCATAGGGTTTATCCTCTACTCTGAATCGCATTCTTTCCAACATGTTTTGGTTTTCTTTTGCTGTTTTAATGAACTTAGTGGTTTAAAATAACAACCATGTGGCAACAGCTGGTGTCTCTCATCCAGTTGCAACCAGACTGCTGCTGAGGCTGGAATATCCAAGATTATTTATGTTTGGTGACTTGGTGGGTTCAATTGGGAGGCTAAGGCCTCTTGTATTGTATCCCTGTGGCTCTGCATGTGGCCAACTTGAGCTTTTATTCATGGCAGGTGCATCCCAAGAGTGAGTGTCCTAGGCAACAAAGGAAGAAGCTGCAGATCTAAGGCCACACAAGTTACACAGAACCACTTCTGCTGCAGTTTTCTGTCTAAAATCTATCAGAGAACCAGCCAAAATACAAGAGAAAGAGTAAAAGATTCTGCCTCTTTTAGGACAGTGTCAAAGTCACATCAATGGAAAGAATTTACTACACACGGCATCTAAGGTATGTGCTATTTCCTGATCATCAAGTTCTATCAGCACAGTATCCTAAATGTAGTAGACTAAAGTGATACCCACAAGTTGATGAAATGATCATGGTCCCTGCACACTAAAGTAGGACAGAGAACTAGAGAACTAACATAGCCCTTATGTAAGGCAATAAATTCTCTGACATTCTCTCACTTCCAGATAAAATCAAACAACTTCCTCTGTTCTGTGCATATTAGGATGAGTAAAAGACATTTGCCAGAGTGATACCTGCATGCTAGGTATTAGAAATTGTGTTTATTCCGGGCACCTAGGTGGCTCAGTCAGTTAAGCGTCCAATTTGGCTTAGGTGATGATCTATGGTTCATGAGTTCAAGGCCTGGGTCAAGCTCTGTGCTGACAGCTCAGAGCCTGGAGCCTGCTTCAGATTCTGTGTCTCACTTTCTCTCTCTGCCCCTCCCCTGCTCTCTCTCTCTCTCTCTCTCTCTCTCTCTCTCTTAAAAATAAATATTGGGGCACCTGGGTGGCTCAGTCAGTTAAGCATCCAACTTCAGTTCAGGTCAGGATCTTCCAGTTTGTGGGTTTGAGGCCCACGACCAGCTCTGTGCTGACAGCTCCAAACCTGGAGCCTGCTTCGGACTCTGTGTCTCCCTCTCTCTCTGCTCCTCTCTCTCTCTCTCTCTCTCTCTCTCTCCCTCTCAAAAATACACATTAGAAAAAGAATTTAAAAAAATAAAAAGTAAACATAAAAAAATTAAAAAATAAAAAAGAAGTTGTGGTTAGTCACCTGATAAAAACACTGCATATAGATCCACATTTTAGATGACCCGTTCATCTTCTACCCATACTGAATAGAAGGTTAAATGGGAATGTGGTGAGAATCACCACTCAAGCATCTTTAAAGTCTTTGATGGTGGCAATAATCACTAGAATTCCCCTAGAAATATGGTATGGATTTCGGTTTACTTTCTCGGTAGAAAAGGGCCATTCGAGGGCCTACTAATTGGCCTTCTGATTATAATAGCCATGAATGAAGAAGCAATGCCAAGATGTTGTAAATATGAAGTTCAGGTCTCTTTTCATCAGATCTAGCAATTTTTCATTTCAAGTATAGGGACACCATAATCAATCACCCACTGCTAAAGATCCCTCCTAGTCTAACAACTATGGTTACTGTTCTGGCCCTGCTTCCTATAATGGTAACCATAGCTATCTCATCCCTGATGGTTAAGTGCTGTCAACTTGGCGTCTGCCACTTTGAGAGCCTATTATTTCCCTTAGGGAATTAGGGATCCTATTTAATTGCAGCATCTCCTAACTTCATCCCTGGGCTCAGAGGACAGCAATATTTTCTCTCCCTCACAATATTTTCTCAATGCATTAGTGAAGAGAAGGTCCTCCAGGCCTTTTTAGGACACAATTGGTGATAGGTGACTGGGTCACACATGATAAATCCATTCCAATCATTCTATCTCCTTAAGTCTTCTAACTCGATCTTCTAAAATATATCATGAGATTTCTAGCATCTCAACTGGATTTAATGCAGGCCACCATTGGACCCACATTTCAACCAACCAAGCAAACCTTTAACCACTCCCAGATGCTTAGGCAAGCATGATGAATCCATGGTCTTTGGTAAGTATATCCACACTGATAATTTCGATCTCTTTGAAAATTAAATTCCTTCATCACTAGTCTAACACTCTCGAGATTCATTATCATATTCCATAGGTTTCTGCCAATCTAAATAAGCAAAATCTTGCACATTTTTTTTTCTATGAAAGACTTCTCCCAGGTCAGACTTTTTACTTGTGCCCTGGAATATATTGAGATCTAACTCTGTAGATCTATAGATCTAATAATACTGGCATCTAGTAGGTAGAGGTCAGGGATGCTGCTAAACATTCTACAATGCACAGAACAGCCCCTACAACAAAAACTTATTCAGTCCAAATGTTAACAGTGCTAACATTAATCAATCCTGCCCCCACATAGAGGCCACTAGCAACTTACGGCTACTGAACATTTAAAATGTGAGTAGTCTTGAGACATGTTGTAAGTGCAAAACATGATTTTGCATATGAAAAAAAAATCTTCATTTTTATAATAATCATTTGTTGAAATGATAATATTTTGGGTATGTTGAGTTAAATAAGATATATTATTAAAATTTAAATTTTGTTCTTTTTTACAGCTTTTAAGTTTGCTACTAAAAAATTAAAAATTATGTATATGGCTCACATTGTATTTCTACTGGATGGTACTGGTCTAGAGATATAAAGAAGTGATAGCAGTGAATTATGGGAAGAACCAGGTACTCTTCACAAGGTTAATTCCTCAGATGAAATAATTTCTGAATTTTCAAAGAAGACAAGACAAGCTTTATAAGATAGAGAAGGAAGACTTCTTCAGACAGCAAAGAGCTCTTTAGGGTCTATCAAGATGATAGAATTATCTAAGTACACTCTAACAGGTTATTACAATTCTCAAGATCCAACTTCTCAATCAATGTCTTAATTTTTTACCTAAAAGACCTAGTGAGTCTGTTTATTCCATTTACCTTGGAGTTCAGTCTTTGACAGCATTAATAATTGATTTGGATGTGTCATCCTAGCAACCCATAGAGATATATTTCTAAGGAAATCATAGAAGCTCTCTGGACCTCTGAGCTTGTAACATTTTTAAGCATCTTAGTGCATTATAAACAGCAAAACCACCCCTCAATCTTTGTATTCTTCATTTCTGCCATTCCCATGAAAGACTTCCATCAGTAACTACTTAATTCCTGAAGCCTACAGGCCACTTTTAAATTCATGTATAATTTAAATTCAATAAAGTGTGCAGATATTAAGTGTTCAGAATATGAGTTTTGACAATTATACACACCATGAAGCCACTACCTAAAACAAAATCTAGAACATTTACATGAACCCAGTAAGTTTATTTGCATTTCTTTCCAGTCCATTAACCAAAACTACCTTCACCCCCATCACACATGCATACTCTAAGACAACCACTTTCTAACTTCTGCCATTAGATGTTAATTTGCTCATTCTTGATTTTCATATACATGCAATCATACAATACATATTCCTTTGCATCTGCCTCCTTTCGCTCAATACATATGTTTTTTTAGATTCATTTATGTTGTTGCCTATTTTGGTAGTTTGTTCCTTTTTATTATGAAGTAGTAGTATTCAGTTATCTGAATATATCACAATTTGTTTATCAACTCTGTTGACAGGTATTTAGTTATTTGCAGTTTGGGATTATCATGAATAAGGCTGCTATGGATATTCTTATGAAAGGTAGTTTATGAATATACACTTTCATTTTCTTATCTAGGAGTAGAATTGCTGGGTCATGGGATATATACACATGTAACTTTACAAAAAAATGCTATATCTATCTCAAAAATCATTGTACCAGCAGTGTATGAGGGGTTCAAATGCTTTAATCCTTGCCAACATTTATTATAGCCACTTTTTTTGGTTAATTTTAGCTGTTCTAGTAGGTGTGAAGTGGCATTCATTATACATTATTTGCATTTCCCCGAAACTAATGATGTTGAGCACCATTTTAATAGTTATGAACCATATGTATATGTTTTATGAAGTGTTATTTTCCCCAATTTTTTATTTGGTTGTCCTTTTATTATTGATTTGTAGGTGTTCTTTATGTTTTCTGAAAAAAATCTTTCGTGAAATATATATAATGAATATTTTCTCCCACTTTGTACCCTGACTATTCATTTTCTTAATGATACCTTTTAGTGAGCAAAAATTTTAAATTTTGATACAATCTAATATATCAACATTTTTCCTTTTATATTTTTGTGCTTTACAACTCTATATTTGTGAGTATATTATATTTTTTCTAGACCTTTTATGATTCTAAGCTTTTATATTTAAATGTATGATCCATTCTGCATCACTTTTTTATAAGGAATGAAGCAGGTGTCAAGGTTTACTTGATTTTATACAGACATCCAGTTGTTCTACCATGATTTATTTGAAAGGCTTTCTCTTCCACATTGAATTAACTTCTTGCTTTTCCTGAAAATGATTAGACCATTCATGTGTGGGTCTACTTCTGGACCTTCCATCCTATCCATCCAGTAATGGATAATCAAAACATATGCCAACATCATATTCTCTTGACTACTGTAGTTTTATTTAAGTTTTACAATTAGGTTAACTTCATTTACCGTAAGGTAGGTTGTCCACAGGGTAAGTTAAACAAGGACTGAACAAAGTCTTGGGGAACAAAAGGCATCACTTTTACTAAAGAGAAAGTGGGTGTCTTAGTTCAGGCAGCTATGACGAAAGAACTACTAACTGGGTGGCTTAAACAACAGAAGGCTATTGCTCATGGTTGTGGAGTCAGAGAAGTCCAAGATCAAGATGCCAGCCAATTCAATTCCTGGTGACCTCCTCCTGGTTTTCAAATGGATACCTTTTTGCTGTATGTTCACATATGAGAGAGGGAGGGAGAAAGCGAGAGAGAGAAAGAGAGAAAAAGAGTGCTCTCACGTCTCTTCTTGTAAGGGCACTACTCCCAAGAGAAAAGCTCCACCTTCATGACCTTAATTACCTCTCAGAGCCCCACCTTCAAATATCATCACAATGGGGATACAAATTTGGTGAGAATATAAACATTTAGTCTATAGGAGTGGGCAACATATTACCTGTTGTTGAAAGAGGTCCTTACCAGAAACCACTGAGACAGGCAACTACTCCAGTTCTGCACTAACTAAGCCATTGTAGTTTGGGCTGGACATAAATGTGGGGTGAGGTTGATATGAGTTGTTATAATAACAGTGGCTACAGCAAGGGCTTTGAAAACAAACCAACCTATATTAATGTTTTCTAGCTACAAGTCTTGGGCAAGTTACTCTACTTCTCTAAGCTGTGTTTTTCTTAAAAAAAAAAAAAAAAAAAAAAGAATAGTTCTGCCTGATAGGATTGTTGTGATGATTGTGGTCATATTTGTAGAGCACATAGCCCTGTCTCATTAAATCATAGGTGTCCTATAGGTGGTAGATATTAGTAAACAATGGTTGTTTTAAGGTGTAAAGCACATGATATAAAACCAAGAATTCTATCTCTTTTTTTAAGACATTTTTTAAAAACAAGTTTTAGGTTCATAGCTAAATTGAAAGGAACACTCAAAGATATGATATATATATTCCCTGTCCACACACATACATAACCTCCTCCATTATCAACATCTCTCACCAGATGGAAAATTTTTTACAATTGATGAAGCTAAATTGACACATCATTATCACCCAGAGTATACAGTTTACATTAGGATTCATTCTTGGTGTTGTATATTCTATGAGTTTGGACAAATGCATAATGACTTTATAATGCATAATTACAGTATCATAAGAGTATTCTCACTGCCCTAAAAATTTCCTGTGCTCTGCCTTTTCATCTCTCCCTTCCTGCAAATCCTTAGCAACCACTGATCTTACTGTCTCCATAGTTTTGCCTTTTCCAGCATGTCCTATAATTGAAATCATACAGTATGTGTCCTTTTCATATAGGTTTCTTTTAGTTTGTAATATGCATTTAAATTTTCTCCATGTTTTTCATGGTTTGACATCTCATTCCATTGCCTGGATGCACCATAGTTTATTTTTCCATTTACCTACTGAAGAACATCCCAGTTGCTTCCAAGTTTTGGCAATTATGAATAAAGCTGCTATAAACATCCACATAGAGGTTTTAATGTAAACATATGTTTTCAATTCCTTTAGGTAAATACCAAGGAGTGAGACTGCTAGATCTGATTATCTCTTTTCATCCAGATATTTTCCACAGAGTTTGAGGCCTCAGACATGAGTCTTTTTAAAAATACTGTAGTATGGGGCGCCTGGGTGGCGCAGTCGGTTAAGCGTCCAACTTCAGCCAGGTCACGATCTCGCGGTCCGTGAGTTCGAGCCCCGCGTCGGGCTCTGGGCTGACGGCTCGGAGCCTGGAGCCTGTTTCCAATTCTGTGTCTCCCTCTCTCTCTGCCCCTCCCCCGTTCATGCTCTGTCTCTCTCTGTCCCAAAAATAAATAAAAACGTTGGAAAAAAAAATTAAAAAAAAAAAATAAAAAATAAAAATACTGTAGTAGCATAAGTGAATCTACTTTTCCTTCTCAACTATAAATGATTCCAGTAATTACCATAATTTGCAAAAATCCAGGATGTTTGACCAGTTAAATAAGGACTTTCAAATTCAGCCCAAGTTGTAGCATATGTTCAATATTTACTATCACTATAACTATTTCATGTATGGAACATTTAATATATCATATAGACAATTTTTAAATCAAAATAACTTGTTTTAATATCATACAGAAAATAACATTGCTTATCCTTATATTGTAAGCTCAGTATTCTATCCTACAGACATTATCATTTCTTTGGCTGACCAAGGGAAAATGATGCATGAGTGTGAAATTTCCTTCTTAAAATATATTATTATTTGGCTCTGATTAGGTTTTAAAAGCTTTAAGAATAAATCTAAGCAATTTGGGTCTCATGGCATAAAGATGTTATGTGGTCATAGAGAGTAGAGACACTATTTTATTATTCTTGTATTGTTTGAAAATCTATGAATATAACTAAAAGTTTATTTAAGAATTAGTTAACTATTTAAAGAACACACATAATTGCATAGCAAAGGAGAGCATCAATAACAGAAAAATGCAGCCTAGTGAATGAGAAAAGATATTTGTAAACGATATAGCCAATAAGGGGTTCATATTCAAAATATTCAAAAAATTCAAATAATGTACAACTTGACACAAAAAAACAAACAATCTGATTTAAAAATGGGCAAAATAACGGACTAGACATATTTTTAAAGAAGACATACAGATGGCCAATAGACACATGAAGAAATGTTCAACACTACTAATCACCAGGGAAATGCAAATCAAAACCATGATGAGGTATCACCTCACACTAGTCAGAATGTCTAATATCAAAAGACGAGAAATAACAAGTGTTGGAAAGGATGTGGAAAAAAAGAGAGCCCTCATACACTTTTGGTGGAAATGTAAATTGGTGCAACCACTGTGTAAAACATTACGGAAGTTTCTCAAAAAATTAAAAATGGAAACACCATATGATCCAGTAATTCTACTACTGGGCATTTACCCAGAGAAAATGAAAACACTAATTCAAAAAGAAACATGCATCCCTATATTTATTGTAGCATTCTTTGCAATTACCAAGATATGGAAGCAGCCCAAATGTTCATCAATAGATGAAGGTACAAAGAAGGACACACACACACACGCACACACACACACACACACACACCGGAATATCACACAGCCATAAAAATAATGAAATCTTGCCATTGGTGACAATATGGATGGACTTAGAGAGTATTATCTTAATGAAATAAGTCAGATAGAGAAAGACAAATACCATATGATTTCACTTATGTGCAAAATCTAAAAAAACAAAACAAATAAACAAAGGCAAAACAGAATAAACTTGTGGTTGCCTGAGAGGTAGTGGGTGGGGGGATCAGTGAAATAGGTAAAGGGGATAAAATGGTTCAAATTTTCAGTTATAAAATAAGCCACAGGGATTAAAAGTACAGCATAGGGAATATAGTCAATAATATTATAATAATGTATGGTGACAGTTACAACACTTAGGAACGTTGAGTAACTTATAGAACTGTCAAATAAATATGTTGTACACCTGAAACTGACATAATATTGTATGTGAGTTATACTTCAACAATAAAACAGGAAAACAAAAACAAAAAAATAAACAACACTCTGAAAATGATGAACTCCTAGGTGTCAAATATGAAGAAAAACATTCATAAGGAAATAAAATGTGGTCCTTTGGAAACAGAAGATTAATAATGCAGGGATACAATATGAAATTGGCATAGTTAGCACATTTGGTCTCGTATACATTTTAAGAAAAACTTAAGAAAGCTGAAGGATTAGTCCTGTTGTTTGCTTTTTTAAAAATAGTTTTCTTTTAGGCCCGTTTACTTTGGATGGGCTTTTGTCAGTAGGTCTTCTTCCCCTAGTTTATTGAAGTTCAGCATGATCCTTTTGTATGGAAGAGAAAATTGCTTGGTCAAAATTCTACCTAGAAGATGAAAATAATATTAATTTTTTATCAAAATATCATATAGTCCACATATTAAACCACTTATATACATGTTTCCAAACACCGATTGGCACTTTTTAGAAATATCAATGCTATATTTTTAAGTGCCTTTATCAGTTGTAACAGTTTGGGTTGGAAGTTACAGAATACCTGACTAATGTTGGCTTAAAGAACCGGAGCATTTGTTACCTCACACAATAAGATGTCTGGAGTTAGGCACTCTCCAGATTGGCACAGCTGTCACCAGTGTCATCAGAGACACAGGCTCTTTCTAAAACCTTTCAGCTCTACTACCCTTTACTTTTTGGTTGCCCTCTTCACCTTCCACCTAAGGGCCACCAAGGCTCCCTCAGCTAAGTGCCTTCTTTGGAAAGAAAGGTGGGATTTTCCTAGACATTTTTCATTTATTTCAAGGGAAGAAAATATTATCTATAAACGATCTCACCATCACCATCTCCTTCTCCTCCACCTCCCTCCTGCTAGCAGACTAATCCTTAGATTACTGGCTTGAGTCAGGTCACAGAGTTGTGCCCCAATATGAGGGAGGCTTGGAAAAATGAGCCTCAGACATTTTTGACCTCCATCTTGGAAGACAGCTTCTGCCAGCAAGAAAGTGAAGGAGGCAAGCTATTGTCCAGGCAACTAATTGTGCCCATGAAGGTGCCACACACACCAGAGAAAGGCCATAAATTAATATAGTTTAATATTTATTTTCTTAAGTTTATCTGTTTTGAGAGAGAGAGGGAGAGCAAGAGAGAGAGCAGAGAAGGGGCAGAGAGAGAGAGGGAGGGAGAGAGAGAGAGAGAGAGAGAAAGAGAATCCTAAGCAGGCTCTGCACTATCAGCACAGAGCCCCATGCAGGGCTCGATCCCATGAACCATAAGATCATGACCTAAGCGAAAATCAAGAGTAGAGGCTTAACCAAGTGAGCCAACCAGGTGCCCCTGTATTAATATTTATTAAACTTTTTTTTTTTTAATTTTTTTTTTCAACGTTTATTTATTTTTGGGACAGAGAGAGACAGAGCATGAACGGGGGAGGGGCAGAGAGAGAGGGAGACACAGAATCAGAAACAGGCTCCAGGCTCTGAGCCATCAGCCCAGAGCCCGACGCGGGGCTCGAACTCACGGACCGTGAGATCTTGACCTGGCTGAAGTCGGACACTTAACCGACTGCGCCACCCAGGCGCCCCTATTTATTAAACTTTTATTGTGACCTAAATACAGTTTTAATCACTACATGTACTCTTTTTTTTTAATGTTTATTTATTTTTGAGAGAGAGAGAAACAGAGCACGAGTGGGGGAGGGGCAAGAGAGAGGGAGACACAATATCTGAAGCAGGCTCCAGACTCTCAGCTGTCAGCACAGAGCCTGACATGGGGCTCAAACTCGTGAACTGCAAGATCATAACCTGAGCTGAAATCGGACGCTTAACTGACTGAGCCACTCAGGCGCCCCACTCCATGTACTATTTAAATTTTACAACAATTTTACAAATGTGGAAAGTGAGGCATGGCGATATTGAATAACTTACCTAAGGCCACACAGTCAGTAAAAGGCAGAGCTGGAATTTCAATCCAGTTAGTCTAAAGTCAAAGCCAAACTCTTAACTGTTTAATTGCTGTTTCCACATGATCATTACAAACAGGATTAAAGGTGAATGCCAATAAAAATTTATGTAATTGAAAACAGAAGTGGCAGACATTTTTAACATATTCTTAGACTCTGGAATTTTACTATTTTACTATTTTGCTTTATCCCCTGCTTAGTAAGTAATTTACAAAGTATGACTCATTGCTATTATCTATATTATAACTCATCCAAGTGGAGATAAAACATGTATATGATATAATGACATTTAGGATAAATTATGACACTAAAAAATTCATTCCTTTATTCTTCGTTGAAAAATACAAAATGCTTCCCAAAAAGTTTCTTTTAAAAATCTGTCACTTGCTCACAACCACTGCTTTTAAAATACCCTCGGGGTGGGGCGCCTGGGTGGCGCAGTCGGTTGGGCGTCCGACTTCAGCCAAGTCACGATCTCGCGGTCCGTGAGTTCGAGCCCCGTGTCGGGCTCTGGGCTGATGGCTCGGAGCCTGGAGCCTGTTTCCGATTCTGTGTCTCTCTCTCTCTCTGCCCCTCCCCCGTTCATGCTCTGTCTCTCTCTGTCCCAAAAATAAATAAACGTTGAAAAAAAAAATTTAAAATACCCTCGGGGAGAGGGAGGTAAGATGGCAGAGCAGCCTGGAGACCCTGAGCTTGTCTTGTCCGTGAAACACAGTCAGCACCAAACCATTTTGCACACCTAGAAAACTGATCTGAGGATAAACACAATAATCTGCATAATTTGAGCCACATAGCTCGGCAGTTAGGCAGTTATGTGCTGTGGAGAGATGAACTGGGGGAGAGAAAAGCCACAGAGGGTAGGGAGCTGTTTTTGTGGATGGAGGACAGAGGAAGGGGAAGAATGCAACACATCGGGAGAGTGCAAGAAAAACACTCCCCTAAAAGTAGCTGGAGTGAAAACACGCCAAGGGACTGAACGAGAAATCTGTTCCCCAAAACCACTGACAGGAAGAAAGGAGAGGGTTTCAATACTACCAGGATTCAATAAACAGTGGAGTGCAAAATCTGAAGTTCTGGAGCTCAGTGCCTGGTGGTGCTCTGGTGAGGAATTAGGATGAATCCCCAGAGCAGGCAGCAGGGTCCGTGTGCCACACGGAGAGAAGTGGTTCCCCTGCTTAGAGAGCGTTTGGTAGAGGCCATACGGCCTCCCCACAGGCAAAGGTCACAGTGGACCTGGAGAGCAGCCACGTTTGCTGGTATTGGGACAAAGACACCAGAGCATAGTGAAACCTGGCACTGGCTATGTTGTGATTTGCCATAATCTCTGACCCTCTGCCACTGTGCGATTGCACAAGCGTTTTCTGGGGCAAGCCAGCACCCAGACATTGCTCAGCGAGACCCTCCCCCAGAGAGTGGAGGCTGGACCAAGCCACAGGGGTCCCTGAAATGCAGGATTTTGAAACATAACCCCATCTGAAATAAAACTCTGGAGGGAGGTGCTACCTGGTAAGTGGGACAGCTTAGACATGAACAGGGCAGAGGCCAGGGGTGGACAGAGGGCTGAAACAAAGGAGAGGTGCTTGATTGTGCGTCAGTGAGAACAGAAGCTCCTGTGCCAGAGACTAGGGACCTAAGTGAAGCCATTTCCATCTCTCCCAGGCATGCGCACATGTGCTACCTTGATTCACCCCACTAAGCTAAGCAGCGCCCCATAGTGGAGAACGGAGCCATTACGCCAAGCCCTACTCAACTGTGCCCTCCAAGCACATTCCACAAGACCAGCACAAGTCCCTCCACCTGCTTAGTGTATGGACTATAGAGGGCTCCATAGTCTCAGTTCTAGGGGAAATGATGTAACTTCATTTGGTTTTTATTTGGTTTGCTGGTTCATTTATTAGTCTGGGGTTTTTTTGGTTTGTTTTTTTGCTTCTGCTTTCATCTAAGTTGTTTTTTTTTTCCTTTCTTGGATACAGAAAGAAAATTTTTTGTTTTTTTATTTTAATTTTATTTTTATTAATTTTTTACTTTATTTTTAATTTTTAATTTTTTATTCTATTTAATTTTCTTTATTTCATTTTATTCTATTATATAATTTTTAAAATTTTTTAACATTTTCTTCCCCTTTTTCTTTTCTTTCCCTTTTTTCTCTATCCTATCAAGCTTCTTGCAACGAGCAGACCAAAACACACCTAGAATCTAGCTTCCTTTATTTGAGTTTTTGTTTTGTTTTTAATTTTTTTCCTCCTAAATGACAAACTGAAGCAATTCACCCCAAAAGAAAGAACAGGAAGAAAAGACAGCCAGGGGCTTAATCAATACAGATACAAGCAAGATGTCTGAACTAGAATGTAGAGCCATAATATTAAGAACACTAGCTGGGGTTGAAAAAAGCACAGAATCCTCTTCTGTGGAGATAAAAGTAAAAATCTAGCCAGGACAAAATTAAAAATGCTATAACCAAGATGCAGTTTCAAGTGGATGCCATGACAGTGAGGATGGATAAAGCAGAGCAGCCAATTGGCGATATAGAAGATAAAATTATGGAGAATAATCAGGAAAAAAGAGGGAAACAAGGCAAAAGAGTGCAATACAAGACTTAGAGAACTCAGTGACTTATTAAAAAGGAATAACATCCAAATCATAGGAGTCCCAGAATATGAAGAAAGAGAAAAAGGGCAGAAGGTTTATGTGAGCAAATTATAGCAGAAAACTTTCCTAATCTGGGGAAAAATGCAGACATCAAAATCCAAGAAGCAGAGAGAGGTCCCCTTAGATTCAACAAAAACCAACCATCACCAAGTCATATCATAGTCAAATTCACAAAATACACAGACAAGGAAAGAATTACGAAAGCAACCAGGGGGAAAAAAAGGTCCTTAACCTATAAGGATTACATTCGCAGCAGACCTATCCACAGAAACTTTGCAGGCCAGAAAGGAGTGGCAGTATATATTCAACGTGCTGAATCAGAAAAATATGCCTCAAGTATTCTTCATCCAGCAAGGCTGTCATTCAAAATAGAAAAAGAGGGCCACCTGCGTGGCTCAGTTGATTAAGCGTCCAACTTAACCTGAGGTCATGATCTTGTGGTTTGTGAGTTTGAGCCTCGTATTGGGCTCTGCCCTGACAGTTCAGAGCTTGGAGGCTGCTTCGTATTCTGTATTTCTGTCTCTTTCTGCTCCTCCCCCACTCATATTCTCTCTCTCTCTCTCTCTCTCTCTCTCTCTCTCAAATAAAAAAAAAATAAAAAAATTTAAAAAAAAATAGGAGAGATAGAGTTTCCCAGACAAACAAAAACTAAAGGAGTTCATGACCACTAAACCAGCCCTACAAGAAATTCTAAGGGGGACTCTTTGAGTGGAGAAAAGATGAAATAAAACAAAAAAGACCAAAAGCAACAAAGACTAGAA